AAATGCATGGACGTCATGTGAGGGAGTAGGGAGGAGTACTGTAGATAAAAGCATCTTCATACCTTTAATGCAAGTCTCACTGGAACTGACAGGTTTCTCTGGATATGTTTCAAAGTTGTTGTTTTCCCCAGGCCCTGGCAGTGCTTTTGTGTTGATTAGATGAATCCTGGTGTGTTGTTTGGTGTTTACATGTCTGCTGCGATGACCCAGGTTGCGGGGGGAGGTGGTCTTGAGGGGAAAGCTATTGACCCCACAGATCTCCTCTGCAAGCCAGTTGTTAAAAAAAAAACAAGGCTGTCTTCCTTGTGTTCTGGCCCAGGGGTTTGTCCTCAGGGTCATGTTAAAAGATCTTGCAGACTGTTCCATGTTTTAATTTTTTTCCCAGGCTGGCTGGGTGGTCTCAAGGGGAGGATGAGCCATGTGTGTGTTTGTTTTGGGGGCTTGTATTTCTTTCAAGGATCTTAAAATTAGTTTACAGCAATCAGAACGTTACCACAGGACATATTCCAACTGTCCTGTTCTGCACTCATTTGCTGCTGAGGTTTTTAGGCTCTTTTTGAGAAGGATGCAGGTTTTCTTTACAAGCTTGTTCTGTCTTCATATCTAAGCTGCTTCTTGTTAGTAGCTTTCTTTCTTTTCATGAGACATAAGGTAGTAAAACTGATTTATTTCCAGTGTGATTCCATTATCCACTTTTCAGTGAGAAATAATTATCTACCTTGTTATGTTAAAAACAAAGTAATGTTTGGTTTCTGCAGATATTTCAAAGCCAGTGTTTGCCACTTTGTGTCTGTGCCTGGGCATCCTCATAGCATCCAGGGGCTTGTGTTTGACCACCCTTGCCTCACTAATAGAAGCTCTTATCCACTCTGTAGTTAGAACCCAAACTTTATACTTTTGCATTGTACAGTGTACTGTATGTGAAAATGAGTGGCAGGAGGCATCTTATGCATGCCTTAGCGGTTCAAAGTGTAACTGCCAATTTGTAGAGCTAGTACATGTGGAGCACTTCTTATCCAGTCCGGCATGTACAGTACAAATCGCACAAGATCACATACGTAGCATTAACCCAGGACTGGTAATCTTGAGACTCCTTTTGTCACTGTAGAACAAAGTGACAGTTGTGTCCTTCTCACACTGCATCCATCTTCCATGAACATCTCGAAGCATAAACTGCTCAACATCAGATTATGGTTTGCTAATGGTCACTGGCTTTTTTTAAAACATACTGTAAACATTAATCCCAGAGGACTTCGGTCACTTACTGTTTAAAAGTTCAGCTCTTACAGTTCATTTTATGGTGTGTGACCCCTTTGAAGATGTTTGAAATTCTATAGAGCAGAAGCATCTGTGGTATTTGGGATCTTTGAATGTCACTTTTGCTTGAACAGCTAGGATTACGAAATCACAGATGAAGGGGAAACAATTATTACTGAAATTAAATTGATCTCCCTCTGCAAAACATTTATCCCTTTTACATAAAGCTGTGAAGATTGTAGTTTTGCAAAAAGAAGTCAATAAGGGCGCGCGCCAGGCTGACTTCTATAGCCAATGGAAGAGATGATTCTGATTGCAGTTTTTCTTGGGTAAAGACTCCGAAGGGTTACAACTGGTGAAGGAAGTGACTAATTCTGGAGGAGCCCGGGCAGGGATGCTAATAAATGTTAGGACAGCTACAGGCTGGGTGCACGTCGGAGATGCGAAGGGCCCAAATGAGACATGTCAGTGTACAAATTGAAAATGCCAATTTCACTTACTCTCCTGCATCGCTCTTCACGCCTAAATTCTGCCACTTATTTCGTGTGTAAATTAATGGCCTCCACTCGGTAATTCAGATCCACCAGCCATCTCCCCCATCTCGTGAGGCTGTAAAAGCAGCTCACAGGCAGATATCAAAGGAAAAGATAGGAGAAGCAGGCCACAAAGAGGAAGATTGCTTCCTTTTTAGGCCCAGCTCTCAGATTATATGCTTTCTTGCCTTCTTCTACATTCTGACCCAGCAAATGCTCATGAATATAAATATAAGCCTTATTAAAAGCTGAACTGTTGCCGTTTCCTGTGAGAAAATGTAGTTATGATTTCAGTAATAAATACAATATTCATGTTTTTTAACGTTGGAAAAGCGCCCTGCCTTTTGGATTGCTTAGGCCATTCTATTTCTTCTCAACCTGCTAATTATTAAAAGGTGTAAAGAACTAGGTTTGTATATATATGAGAACAATTGTTTTAAGAGCAATACTGATAATTCCTTTTGTATTTTTAGAAAATTGACTGTAGACTATTTGTGCTTCGAAAAATACAGCACATTCAAGTTCTTATGACTTGAAAGATCTTCCATAAAGAGTACTTTGCTTGCTTTGTAGCCCCCATGAAGTAAAGAGAGAAATATTTTTTTATGACAGAAATGTTCTGATACCAATGAGTGCAGTGCCAGTACTCAACTTGATGTATATAGCAAATAGAAACAGAGCATGTCTCCACAAATTTGAAAAACCCGATTTCAACTTTCCACCTGAGATTTTTTTTAAAAGATTTTCCTTTCAGTTCAGTACTTTTGCAGCCCTAAAGCTTTCTGAGGAGAAACATTGAGAGGTTCAATCTTACCCCATTGATTCCAGCCCATTTGGGTCTTATTGCCTTTAAGCTGAAAGTTGTAAAAAAAAGTTTTAAAAAAGGAGCTGTAACTCTTAAAATTGTAAGTGTCTGAGTAAGCCGATTCTTTATCAGAGCATTCCTGTGCCGATATTTTTTTGAAGCATTTCTTTTTCTTTGACAAAACAGAGAGCCATGAATCATTCATTTAATCTCCTCTGACACGCCTGTCATTTTCTTTTGAGAGCTGCTCGTATTTGTGCTCCGAAGGAGGTCGTTACCTGTCAGGGAAAATTCTGGCTGCTCTCAGCACCATATTGATCTAGGCCCAGGCAGGGTGTTGCTGCAGAGTTGTGAGCAGAATACTGATGGGAGGAAGAAGGGGAGATGTGCAGGTTTCATCTCTTAGACTGCAAGTTGGCTTCAAAATATTTTTTTACCCCTGCAAGTACTCCTGTCTCATTGGAAGAAGTTACAGTGGTTTAAAGAACCATATTTATGATGACGTTATCATTTTCATTTGGATTTTGTTTTCATATTTGACTCAGTTTTTCAGCATTGTGCATTTTCAGGTGATTCTTGAACAAATATGCATGTTCCTCAGCATTTCAAGGAGCAAGAAAAGGTTTATTTTATGCTGAAAAGAGAAGAAAGGAAATGCAACATGTCTGCTGTGGAGCCTTCTTTGGCTGTGAGGCTTGTGGAATAAACCTTTACTTGTTCCTTTGTAGCCTATGCATGCTGACACAGCTACCTACTTGAACTAACTTTGTGGATTTAATTTGGAATAGTTACTAATACCAAAAAACAGTTGAGCATATGTGAAGAATGACGTACATCTCTCAGGATAAATTTGAATGTCATTTCTTACCGTGGACTACTGATTAATCACTACAAACACTTGCAACTTTTTTGAGTTTTAAGTGTTTATCTCTTGGGAGATTTTTGTTCCAATACCCTTCCACACCCATGCTCTCCTGGCTACATCCTGAAAACAGGTCTGTTGTCTTTTTGCTTTGGCATCTTTAGATTGAGACGATGAAATGTGGTGGTTTGTTGTAGAAATTTTCTTTTGAAGGAAAAATTGAATGCCGTTATCAGAAATGCTCTTGGGAGCATGTACACCACATTCAGTTGTCAATTGTTTTCTTGAATATACAATATACAAAAGCATTGCTATGCACAGTGACATTTTAAAAATGATCACAGCTGATGTTGATTTAAAAATAATGTAACTTACTGTACAACTTTGTTGTAAATTATTTCAGTAGTCCTAAATGAAGTACAGTATATGCACCATATGATTTTCTTTATAGTGTGGCAGTAATTACTAGTGATATAGTGCTCTAACATAGTCAGCTAAGTAAAGAAATAGATATTTCATGCATTAAAGTAAGAATGATTAAAGCTTTGGGTAATATACAGTAGGAAACAGGAACACATGAAGTGCAGATAAAGAGCTTTCAAACACAACTTGGACTAAAGTATAGTTCAGATGTTAACAAGAAGATCGTTAAGTAGTTGATGGTAGTACCAGTAGTACATCCTTAATCGGGCCAGGGTTCAATCAACGACATTGCTGTAACAGAGTGCTTCATAGTAAGTGAGATCTATTTGATAGGCTTTAAATAGTGTTCTCTCAGTGCTTTAGAAAAAATAAGCTCAGCTCTGCCTGTTAATGCTGTGAAACTGAGCCGTTTAATCATGGTTTATAGATGAATTTTATTAACGATTGCTGCTACGAAGCATGGGCTTTTAATGGGTGCCGTGGGTATTAGTCTGCACTTACAGGAAGATCGGTCATGACATTGCAATACATTGGATTGCAGAGTGATGGCTGCAGTGTGTTAGCAGGACTGTCTTAGCAGGTTAGCTACTGTGCATATTTTCTCGTTTTTCTTTCGTTAGTGAAACTAGGTATCAGTTTCACAAAAGAGTCTCTTGTAAATGTCCCTCTAGTGGAACTCAGGTGGATCTGCTGCACTTCCGCAAAAAGATTTTGAATGGGAACTGTACCATCAGCCACCTGTGGGTAGAGTCTCTGTAGAGCATCACCCAAGATGAAGCACGTTCAGCCTTTTTCAGGGTTTCCTCAACTTTCCATTTGTCAGGGGGAGCTGATTAACTCATCTGACTGTCGTCTGAAGTGCTATCACTTGTACTACAGGCATGGTGTGCTAAAGAATCAAGAAGATCTTGTTTGGTTTTGCATTCAGTATTGTTTTATACTTAATATTTCCCTTGCCACCGCAATGGTTTGAATATTAAACTGAGCTGAGCAAGTGGTGATTAAAAAGCAATTGCTGATATACTGTACAGCATATATTTACATTTAGTAAATTCTGACATTTTGTGTTGTTGAAAACCTGAATGCTATGTAATTGTAATCAATTGACTTTGTCTTACAGTATGTCTATGAAGGAAATGACATCAGTGATCTTCCTGTTGACCTCTCTGTGGTGTGGAATGGAAACTTTGTTATCGACAATCCCCAGAATATTCAAGGTAACAAAAGTAAAATTCTTGAATTAAACTGGTCCTGGAGGCAATGTAGACATGAAGGGTTTTGAAAGGGTTCTGTCAGAAATTACAGGTGACAGGTGGACACAGTGATCTGAGAAATCCAGATAGACTGGATTCTTCTGTTTTCTTAATCTCACTTATGAGATACCTCTGTATGTTTAGAAATGTAGCATTTGTGGTTTGTCATGGAAATGTGACTGTTTTATGTGAAAGTGAGGATACAATGTAAAATGACAGGCCAAATTGCTTTTGTTTTACTGCTCCAATAAAAAGCATCGTTGTAATGACCAGCAAGCTCTGGCACAAAACCATTCATTTGGAACATGTTCATGACCTTTACATCGGGGAGGATTGTAATGTTTGGATTGATATCATCACTGCAATGGCATATTCAATAATCCAGCACAGTACAATACCTGAAAGGTTGCCCTTGACTACCACTGTGCCTTAAAAGGTGAGAGAAAATGTTCCACACAACACAGAGAACCACGTTAGTCAAGTTAATTGCTAACAGCATCCTTGAGACTGGTTGACGTCAGTAGGTTAACCTAAGGCTTTATATATGAGCTTTAATGGACAGAATTGGAGGTGGGGAACAAATATTAGTCACTTGAATGAAAATTAATAGTATAGTTAGTAGTTTAATACAGTGAGTGGGGGGGAGGGAATAAGCCATATACCGTATCATTGAAAAACATTTTTTTTTATGTGGAGTCGACCTTGTGTTTTTCTGTAACAATCTGGGTCTGTGGTCTAAAGATGTTCCAGGCCATGGATGCTTTACTTCAAAGATTTCATTCTTCATTGAAAGTGCTTCTCCTAGCTGTAGGGAAAAGGCTCATGCTTTCTTCCTCTAGCAGCTTCAAATTAAATGCACTTTGCCCTAACGCAGTAGTATGTGAAGCATTAATGTTTGCCCTTGTAGCATAGGAACTGGTGGCACTGCAGCCTTATTTTTCTGTACCCAGCTGTCTGACTTGCCACCTTCCGTTGTTAACGAAAGCCTGGCCTAATGGCTGTCAGGGTGTCTTTCAGGCCAGAAGCACTGATGATGATAACTCATGACTTTTCCGTAGAAAGTGTCTGAAACGGGACCCAGGGGACTCCCAGGCACGACTCCATGAATTATCCGCCCGTGCTCATGGAAGACGTACCCTCGTGTAACGGGAAATGTTAATGTAATTAAATCATTAATTTAGTTCTGTTTAATTAGCACGGGGGTTACTTTTAAGCTTAGCCGTGACAAATCAGATTAGTTATAGACTTTGCAGGATGAAGACACGTCTCCTCTGAAGTCCTGCGGCCCCTATTAAAAATGATGCTGCTGATTTACCATGGTCCAAACAAGCTTGGTGGATTAGATCGAAAGTCTGAGTTCTCTTTATTATGTTAAAACCCATCTGGCTCTTTTAAAGACGAGAGACTCTGTAGCATTTTTAATATTCTATCCAATTTATTTCTGCGTTTCACTTGTTTTAAAGTTGCATTTGAGGTTCAAGTTAGATCCGAGTTTGAGATTATTTACCTGTCCCAGTGCGCAAAATTAGAGTAATGTGGCATTTTCTGGGATTTGTCAGTGCACATTTTAAGAACTTTTAAGGACTTCATAGAGGGCTATTGATCATCAGTGCATGGTGAACTCAGAATTAACAAGTGAGGGTGTTTTTTGAAAACTTAAAATTTCAATACAACTGTTGATGAAGGTTGAACAGGGAAAATCCTGGTATTTTGTCCATGTTTGGCTTGCATTTATTCTGATTATCTTTTCAGTTTGCTCCAACCTTGGCTGCCCTGTATGTTTATAAAGATAGAACACCTTTTCTGGCATCTTTTCACTGTTTATTTTTTTCAGTTCTCTTGTGTAAGAGCATACTCTCTTTCCTAGGATCACTTTTTGGAATGGAGCACACCTTGCTGTGGAGAATGACTCTTCAATCACTCTGTTTCACACACATTTCGTCCAAGTGTTGTATGTTGAAATGAATGGAGCTTGACGGTTTTCTCGGCAGAGAGAGCTTTACTCTTCCCCTCACCTCTGTCTCCTGTTTCCAGCTCACTTGTACAAGTGCTCGGCCCTCCGCGAGAGCTGTGGCCTTTGTCTAAAGGCCGACCCGCGCTTCGAGTGTGGCTGGTGCGCTCAGGAGAAGAAGTGCTCCCTTCGGCAACACTGCCCGGCCCAGGAAAGCAGTTGGATGCACGCCAGCGCTGGGAACAGCAGGTGCACCCATCCCAAAATCACCAAGGTAATTTGGGGAAGAGGAGGCACCATGGAGACCAGAGAACAGGCTAGGGGGCGGAGGTGGGGGTTCTTTGGGACAGGTGATGCTATGTAATGTGTTCTGCCACCAGGTTGGCAGTTTTGTGCCAGCCACTGAGGTGCCACAACAGAAAATAACGGCCATCTGTTGAGCTCCGTGATGAACATTGGGGACTTCTCTTGGCTTCAGCCCAGCATTGCTTGTCCCTCTTGAAACTTTGCTATGCATACTGATGTGTCACACTTTTAAATTACTTCAGTATTTGATTACAAAAAAGATATAACAAATTTGTTGGACTTTTCTAAACCCCCAAGACAACCCAGTTTGCTTCTAATCTTGTGTAATGAACATTAAAGCCTGGTGTGTTTAGGGGGGATATTTAAATTTAATAAAATTGTTTCATTTGACACAGGATGGAAAAACTAAATAATAGTCATATGTTGGGGAAAAAATCTAGGAGGACCTTCTGGAGTTTGGACTGAGCAGGTTCCACTTTTGTTCCAACCAAATAGTACTCATGGACCTGCTAAATGGACAGTTGAATTACCTTATTCAGTTGTATGTCAAATCCCAAGTTTCAAGGTGTTCCTCTTGTCACTCCAGTTAAACAAGATCTTTCCTATTAAGGTTGAAATATGCACCCATATTTTAGCATAGCAACAATTGGTACAAAATATGTGGTGATTTGACTGGACACCTTATCTGAGGCAAAGAAAAGTATGCAACAGTTAAATATTTTCCAATTCCTGGCACTAATACAAGTGTTTTACTGTGGGAAAAGTGTAGCTAGAAAATTGCATTTTCACCATGCAATAAGTGCTTATAATAGTACAGAAAGAGAAGCAATGAATGTGGCCACACACTGACACTTGACAATTTAAAATAACCATCTTTAGTACCTTTTAAGTGTGTGTTAGAATTCCATCAGGTTTTACTCAGATATTAAAAGGATTTAAATATAATGTCCTATAGCCTTCCAATCCTTCCTGCTAAATTGAATGTTATTCTTTCTTTCTGGGAGAATTTATAAATTTCATTGAATAAGGTTTCCCATTTATTAAAACTACATTTTCTGTCATGGCAGGCACTGAGACTAGTACATTAAGGAAGGATTATCCAGTAATTTAGCTTCATCTAGAGTATTTAGCTCAGATTTTCTGGTTCTTATTTTCCCTACAACTGTGGAGACCCCAAGACTTCTGAAAAGAGCTACTTTCTCATTATTCTTCTGTACCACATGTATGCTTTTTTGAAGAGATTTCAGTCATCTATAAAGTGTTTTTCGAATTGAAAACCATTCCTGTTCAGTTGTCATGAAATATGTATATGATTTAAATGTATTTCCCACCAACTTTCTGATCCTTGAAAAAATACCACTGGCAATAGACTTCATTTTATTAATTGCTTAGTAGGTACCCTTCTGATTTTACAATAAGCAGAAGGGAACTTCGGTATGCATTTTGAGTCTAAAGTGGATCTTTGTTACATTTTCTGCATCCAAACATTTCCCAATTTATAAACTTTTTATACAACAGCCCTGTATTCTCTTATATACACATATATTGTTTTATATTAATTTTTTAGTAGAAGCTATGTGTACTGTACTTGGCAGATACCCTCTAATTGGGAAACTTGCAGTGTGTTTCTGTACAGCTTGCACAGCCAGATTTGTTATGGCTCAGGATAGTATTACTCCTCATATGTTTTGACAGATCAATCTAAGGTGCATATGAACAGAGTTTATCTATAATGTTAATATCTCTGCTTACCATCCTTTAGAGAAAGATAGGTGCTTTCCAGAAGAGTTTCTTTAAATATATATACAGTATATGCTCATGTCCTGCACTTTATATCAAATTCTAATCCAAATGTAAAATGAAGAAATGTGCCATCATTAAAAGTTTCTCTTATACGTCTTTTTTTTCTGTGGGGATGTAGAGTTACATTTAAAATGACCCCACTGAAACCAATTAAGGTCCAGTTTGCTATCGCTGGCATTGCTCTTGGTGAAAGTCAAATGATTTTGCTGCCAGTTCCCAGTCCCATAAGTCTTGTTTAGCTATGTTTTTACCATCAAGCAGTAAACTGAACTGTACAGACACACACAAACACACCCACACATGCATGCACACTACCTCTTCAAAGGAAGCTTTTGGTGTCAGCTTTTATAAATTTGAAAACAGCCATCCAATTATTCAGGCTTTCCTCCTTATTAAATATTGACAAAATGCAATCATCTTTTTTGTGACCCAATTTGTGTTACATTTTTGGAAATCAACCATCAGAAGAAAGTTTTCTGAAAATGTATTTAGTTCAGAAAGATGTAACTCTGAGTGCATGTACACTCAGTCTCTATGTATTCTAATGACATTCTGTATATCACCCTTAAAGCCCACAAATGAAACTACTGCAAACCATTCCTAGGTCTTTCCTTCCTTCATTTAGGGAGAGGATGGGGTCTGTGTCTAGACAGTGGAATGCTCTATCAAGGTTGATGAGCCTCTATGAGACCAAGTCTTTTTTTGGCGCGTCTTTTATTTGGAATTTGTTACGAACCTCTAGAATGCATAAGTCCATATATGTTCTGCATTAAAATATTTTTTGTAAACTTTGAGGTGGGTTTGCCAACTAAAACTAATCTCTGTTCTATATTATTTGCCTTTTTTATAACCCTTTGCTCCAGTAAGCTTAAACACTACAATCCCTTTTGTTTTTCAACTGTTATCCTTAAGCTGTTATTCATATGAAAATAAAAAAAAATCTCTCAGCTTTGTTTCTGGCTGAACATCAGTAAAAATATGCAATTAGAAGGAATTAGCTTTTGTAGATTTAAATGTAGTAACTTCTTTGAATCTGGAGTTTTCAGATGATTAGTCTAACATATCAGCTAGAAGATGAAAGAAGGGTTGGATTTATGTTTTAATTATTCCAGGCTCTAACTTCAATGAAGTTCTTATGTTGCTCCTTTGGGAACAGTGGAGCTCTTTATTATTGGTCCCTATATTTTATCTGTTTTTAAATGTGTAATCAACTAAAATTAGGCAGTCTGTTTTCAGTGCAGTATCAGAAATGAGTTAGGAGTATTTTTTCAACATGGCTTGAAGATACTATGTTGTGTTATGTATAATCATATGTTAGACCACAGCACCAAGCAAGCAATTATTTGAAATAGTTGTATATACAAGGTTTTAGCTCAAGGAATAAAATTGTACGCTTAAGCTAGAATTTTAACTCATGAAGGAAGACTTCTGAGAAACAACTTCACAATTATTGCACTGCGTATCTGCAAAGGGGATACCCATCAACAGTCATGTAAGAATTATACTGAACAATAGTCATGTCATGTTTTTTTTTTCCTTGATAGTAACATTGTCATGCAGAATATTGCCCAACTGCTATGACAGACATTCTGTAATCCATTCAAAATACATTTACCACAAACAAGAAGGGGCTATTTGGCCAGTTTAGCTCATCTAGTTCTATTTTTCTCTACTGTCAAGCCCAAGTTTTACATTGGGATGGGATAAGACACCAAAGCACCTGGTGAAAACACACACAGGGAGACCATTTTAAGTCCACACAGAACACTGATGAGGACCCTGAAAATCTTTCAAGACAAAGACAACTCTGGCAGCTTCCTCAGAGTTATCAGTGAAGCATGAACCAGAGGGCACAGGTGGAACTATGAGGATGTGCCTTTAAAACTGAGAACAAATTATTTCTTTACACAAAAGGGATGTGAATATAGAAAATCCTACCACTCTACATTATCAAAGCCAGTTCCACAGCTTTTCTCAAGTAACAGCTAGATGAGATCCTTAGATCAATTCATTACCACTGTGTTTGAAATATATCCATCTCATTTTTCACGTAGAATTTCTATCACTTTTCAGTGGGAATTATTCCATAAAATCCAATGAGCCATATTTCATTCTCAAGTGATATAATTATTTTAATTAAATGCATGTTTGAAATGTATTAGTACACCATGCAGAAAAAAGGCTAGGATTTACTTAACTGTAATTTAATCGAAACCCTGAGGACATATATATTTTTATCCTGATAATCTATAGTTATGAGTACTAATGTAGCAGTGTGACATTGTTTTCTCACTCATGCTTGTTCCATTAGCAGCTGATAAGAATCTGAAGAATAGGCATGATTTACATCAAGTGAGATGCTATCAGATTGTTGTGCAATAAGCAAGTGTGATAATAAACAATATCTAAAATTTGTATTATAAACATTCAAAACACTATTGGTTCTACCAGGCAATAGAGTTGTACTGGAAAATGCAAGGAACTGTGAGAAAGGTGAGTAATAAGTTCAAGTTTTATACTTTATCCTCTGGGAAATAATATCATTAAAAGATTTCACAAAAAAAGAATGAAATAAATTATCACTCTCAGTTTAGTTTTATAAAGATTCTGTGAATATTTTTGTATAGTTCCCAAAAGGTTACATACTGACCAAATTATGAGTCTTTGTGTACCTTATACCTATTTACATGTAGATCAAATGATTACAATTCCTGAATAAAATACGGACAAATGGTCCATCAGGCATCTCCCCTCTGAAACCTCTAGTACTAGTACCTCTAGTACTAAAAAAGCCTTTAGATAGCTCCTCTAGCCTCTGAATAGCTCCTCAAGGTTAATGCTAAACATTATTTTTTATTATTCCAGAATATTTGGAATTTGCCATTGTGTCTTGATTTTGCAAGGCCAAATCTGCAGTAGTACTAAAGAAATTTAGTTATTGGTCTTTGACAGGACTCCTTTCCAGTATGATTAATAGCTGATATTGAGAAATAACCTCAAAGATCCTTGCTTTGTGTATTATTGTAAAAAATGGCAAACATTACACAGCAAAATGCATAATGAGCAGTCTTTTTCAGAGAGTAATTAAGGTCTGATACTTTCGGATGGAGTTCATCATGTATTTTATGCTGGACATCAAAATACGAACTTGCAATAAAATAAAAACCTTTGGCACTAAGAACCATACAAAGCAAATTTAATGAAGAAAAAGTTTAAAGATACAAAGTGGAACACAGTGGTGATCTTATCCATCTACTGTAGGTGTCAGGGAAAATGTTTTAGAAAACATTAAATCATCATATGATCTCCTCTCTGTCTTTGCATACAGTATTATCGAAGAGTCTTATGATTAAGTGGATCTGCTGTATCTCTTATGAAGTATTAATTGTATTCCTGGTCATTACAATGATATGAAACATGATAATTCGGTGACATCAGATGGTTTTTGAAAGCTCTGTCATGGATTGCAGCTGGGCCTTATGTGTAGATGCTTCAAGGCAGATGAAAACAAATAGCCTTGCTATGAAATTGCCTATAATTATATCATTATTGTTATTACGAGGTCCGCTTCGTGCTGCACATCAGTCACAATATTTGTTTTGTCATGCCACACCTGTCCTCTTTATTAGAAATAATTCCACTAAATAAATCACATTATCCTGCTGCCACACGGTTCACGATTGAAAAGACGTAATACCGAAGCAGGGGTAATAAGTTTAAATTAAGGAATGGGTGCTTTCGCAGACGGTCTATAAGGTTTCCCTTTCTCCGAAGTCAGGTAATTTTTCTTTATTAAAATGAGGGCTATTGGATTTGGAGTGTAATAAAAAGAGGAGCTAGGTTTAGATTCAAGCTAGTGCATGTCTCCTTTTTTATGATGTTCGCTTTATTGTGATTGTTATCCCTGCATATTTTGTATGCTGTTCTTAAGAATTCAATAACTGAATTGAAGAGAAAAATATGTTTAATTAACTTGGTGTCTAATTGCTACGTTGACACTTGTTTGAAAAACCCAGGCCTTTTGCTAATCTAAAAATGTTTTTAAACCTCCTTCCATAATGCATAGGCCTTATTAAACAAGTTGTTTTTAAGCCAGGTAAGTCAATTGAGAGCAAATTCATATTTACGTTGTAAACCTGGAGAGTACAAATTGATACAGCTGGGCATCTGCTGGAACAAACGCCAATTACCAAACACTGTTTTCAGAAAGCACAAGGTTAAAAACAAAAGGAAGCCAATCTAGTGTGTTTGGTTGCTAGATTCTATTTGGCTATTTAGTATATGAAAGCAGCCAAAGCAGCCATATCACTCTGCAACTCAAAAACTGGCAGCCCACTGAAGATCAGCAGGTGTGAGCCTGCTCAGTACCAGGATGGGAGACCTCCTAGGAAAAACTAAGGCTGCTGCTATGGTGTTAGTGGGGCCAGCAGGGGGCACTCACCCTGCGGTCTGTGTGGGTACGAATGCCCCATTATAGTGACGGGGACACTATACGGTAAAAAGGCGCAGCGCTCCAGATGGGAGTCCCAGGATGCTTCTCAAAAAAAAAAAAGGAGGGGTGTAGTCAGGCGTCCTGGCCAAGTTTCCCATTGGCCTTTGCCAATCTGTTGTGTAGTGAGTGATCTGGTGCACTTTGGCTGCCGTCGCATCATCCAGGTGGGGCTGCACACTGGTGGTGGTGGAGGGGACTCCCCATTACCTGTAAAGCACTTTGAGTGGAGTGTCCAGAAAAGCGCTCTAAAAGTGTAAGGAATTATTATAAAAGACTCAACAAAGTAGCTCACACCCCCATAAGTCCTTCATGTAAGGAAGTTCCCATAAATCTGCTTTAAATGCACTTCCTTTTAGTTCCACTTGTGTCCTCTGGTTTATTTCATTGTTGAGTCTAAAGGATTCCATCCCTCATTATAAAGGATTCTCAGTTAGTGATGTTTCTTTTTGAGCATTATTGTGCTGTAGTTATTGAAATCAGTGTTGAAATATCATCTATATGTTCTGTAGTGCGGAGAACTCAAACCCAAGTTCTGGAGTGCCCCAGGAGCAGTGTAAGTCACTGTTAAATCACCAGTTTCTAAAGATCTGGAACAATTCCGTTGTACTGAAGTGTACTATTAAGTAGTTATGTTATCATTTAGGGCAGAAATCTTGCCAATTTTTAAAACAGTATATATAATAACCGGCTTGGGGTTTGTCAGGCCCCACTTTGGAGCCCATGGTGGAAGTGCATTTTCCTTTAAATTATTTAAGTGGAAAACCTTTTGACATACTGGTAGTAATGAACGTGCTAAATAATTGGTATTTCTAAAAATTGTTTTTTTAAACTTTTAATTTTTGAGTTCTTTGTTGATTTTTTTTTAATGGTTGCCAGTTGTGGCTCCCAGCAACATCCCCTGTACCCTCCCACAGGGAGAATGAGGAAGTGCAGACGGGACTCCTCTGACCTGCCCTCCCATTGAGTCATCTTTTGACGTGCTGCAAGCTCCGTTGTGGAGCACAAGAGGTTCAGCATCAAGTGGAAGAGAGGCGTGCCGCCCGTAGGCGCCTGGAAAGCTGCTGGCCTCTTTTTCCTCCCCAAGAGATCGACTTGGTTGATTAATCCCAGCCTTGCCCCTGGCGGTGCTGAGCCCATCTTGTGCTACCACTTTGGAGAATCGTGGTTATAGTCAGCTATTGACATTGCCAGGCCCCGACTTGTGATGTCTAAATAGTTCAGCTTTTACCAGACAGGCTCAGATTTGTGTATTCCTGAGTTTTTCCAAAGCGTACGAAAAGCACTGCACGTGCGGTGAGTAATAAAAGGTCAGAATATTTTTGGGAAAACAGACTTATTGTTCATACCATTACCGGTACTGAGTGACAGTGTTAAAATGAATGAAGTGACACTATTATTTTAAGTATTAAAGAACTTACATTTTCTGGATAACTGTAGTGAAAGTTATGCTTCAGAGTTGCTTTCTGCCATCTCACATAACTCTCTCTCCAAGTGGTGAAGGCCTAGAATGCCTTAGGCAGCAGAGCTTTTGGTAGCTGAATGGGCTAAATAGTAAATGCAGCACCTTCAGTGTTGCATATTGTACATTACCGTTTTATCATTAGGCACAAATGCTTTCTTTTGTTTGAATGCTGATTGTACTTCGCAACATTCTTGTGTGAATTCGCTAAAATTCGTGTTTGGGTGTGGAACTTTGCATCTTGTCTAGTTTTGTAAGCCCTGTGCCTTTTTTCTTTTCCATCTAATGACCTAATTTAGTTTTAATATCTTTAGTTATGATGTGGATTATTTTTTTATGGAAGTATACTGTACATGCTTAGCAGACCAAACCACCTTTGTTTATAGGTAAATATATTTCACTTGTTTGGGAGATTGTTGCTGAAGATAGAATTCTATGTGGGGGAAAAAAAAACCTTTCTGAACTTCTGTATCTCAGTGCTGCTATGCTAGCTTTCACAGCACGGTAACACAGTATACTGTTGTATACTGAAGCTGTCTAAATCTGCGGTTTTATTTACCAGAACTGTTTGTTTTTTTATTTAAAAACTGTGAAAACAGATCTGAATTTAGTTTTTATGTCTGACCATATACTGTAAAAAGTTGTGTAAGTGCAGGCATACAGAGGAAGTATTATGCTTCAATATGCCAATAATAGGGAAAACTGTGTATTAGATCTTAAATGTTATCTGTGGCATGGGATTTAGGCATCCTGGGTTCAATTCCAGCTTGGAGCTCCAGTTCTTGTGAATTCATTGTTCCCCTTGTGTTCACATGGATTTTCACCAGATGCCACTTTTTTGCCCATCTTCTAAGTGTATGCAGGGTAGTACATACTGTATGATTGGCTACTCTAACTCCCGTTTCTGAGCTAGTGGATTTCAGAGGATTTCTTATTTGGGTGGGTTTATTCCCTTACAGCAAGTATTGGCTATAGGGCTACAGAGAAATGGAATCAAGAATCTGATGGGCCAAAAGGCATCCTGATTTGTGGCTTTTCAGGTATTCTGACAAAGCTGTATTCAATCCTCTTTCGTTTTCATTGCCAGCACACTCCTAACCTGCCTGCGTTATTCCTTTCCTCTGCAGCTGTTACCCGAAACCGGCCCCAGGCAAGGTGGAACCCGGCTGACTATCATTGGTGAGAACCTGGGGCTTCAGTTCCGAGATATCCAATCAGGAGTAAGAGTGGGGAAGGTCATATGTCACCCCATTGAGGAAGAGTACATCAGCGCTGAGCAGTAAGTTATTACTCTGTTGTTCTGAATCAAAGGCATGCCTTGACAGCAGCCGGTATTTTAAAAATAACTCGTGTCAATGTATCATCTTGTTTCTCCACTTTACACGCTCTTCAGTATTTTGAGTAAGAAAACATATTATCACAAAATAAATTAGAACAAAGCGAAATGTTTGTTGAATTATAGCGATCCGTATTACAGTGGGGATCTAAAACGTTGACTTGGAAGAGCTCTGTATGTACTGGTTTTTCTCTTCTTTGCATTGTCAGCTTTGTCCAGTTTCGCAGAAAAAGGAGGTTTGCATTGATTAAGGACCAACATGTGAACTGCCAGGCGCATCATTGCCTTTCATTACTTTTCCCAAAACACTGATAAATAGATCTAAATTACCGTAACAGTTCTTCAGCTGTACAAGTTCATCACTTCAGTCACTGTCAGTGTAACCTCTGTCAGAAAACAGTCTGGATTATCAAATGATGGTCTCATACTGCCATGAAATACGTCAAATCTTGGCATCTGCTTCCTGTTTCCTCAGATCACAGATCTTGTGCACACAGTGGTGGTTCATCCGTAGTCTCATTGGCTTTGTCTTCAGGGTCAGATATCTCTGACTAGAGTCCTTATCTGTACCTCTCTTGCTGGGTTCTTTTCCGTCTGTCATTGATGGCCTTTTTTTTCCCCCCAGAGGTGATCCACTGCCTGTCTGTTTCTTCTTTTTCCATCCTCTGCCTTCCACCTTCCTCTTCCCCTTTTAAATGAGTGGTCAGCACGTCACGACCTGAAAGGGGTGTGAGCCCTTTTCATTTTCACCCCCACTCTCAAAAATGAATGAAATGACAGTGGAAATAACTGGGGAGTGAGGTAATTCATAAATATAGGTTTAAGGTGTATCGAAACTACTGTGTTATGCTTATAGGTACATTATCTTATTTTTTACCCATTTCACAAAAAGTTCTTTTTAAATATTAATATAACCATAGCTTGCTGTTCTACTTAGGGATTTGATTCCACAGCTGAATGGCTGAATAACTGAAGGATATTTTGCCCACGTTTAACCTGCTCTTCCATCCCCTAATTAAGCTTTGCTGAATGCTTCCTACAGCTTTCACCACAGAATGTGTCAGTCAAATTAGAAGTAATATTGCACAGCATTAGTGACTGCAATTACATTTGTCATTTTAATTAGATGTTTCTGTAGATGCTACCGAGTATTTTCTACATAGCATAAAAGAATTTTGGCATTTTTAAATCTATGCATCAGTGTGTGTGTGTGTATATATATATAGCGTTTGCTTCATTTATTTGAAATCAGTATGTCTCTAATTCCAGTAGATTAAATGATGTGCTTCATGTCCTTTTACAAGACACCTACTGCTTTGTATATGAAGTTCTCTCTCCCTCTTTAAACCACTTTTAGAATTTTAATTAACCTTATTTGCTTAGTGAATTGAAAATTGATAACAGTTCTCAAACCTGGGAAAACCTCAGTCATTTGAAGCTCATTTTCATCTGTGCAACATCCAGTAGGGTGGACAAAGGAGAGAATTAATAACTTGCAGCAACAGGAGGAGCAAGTCGTTTCAGGATGAAAAGAAGTCAAGCAAATCTAATTAAAAACCCACTTCAGACATTTATTCACTGTCAGGACAGTCTAATTAGCCATCCAGCATGTTCTGTCCAGCGTAACATAAGGTTAAAAACAAGCACCATTTCCCCCCCCCCTATCAGCTTATACTGAGGAATACTGTTTGGAAGAAGATTTTTCATTGACTCTTTTACTTTGAATTCACCACTAGTCTCACATAAGCGATCAAGCTTTCACTGATTTTAGAGCCTGGAAGTTACTCAGTGAAAGCCCCCCCCCCCCCCCCCAGTCCTTTAAAAACCCCAGAAACTTTTTTTTGTTTCAGTTAAGCTTTCAGTTGCCTAATTGGACACTTACATGAACTAATCGCCTACTAAATTAGACCTTTTATATCATTTTCTAGTTTGAAAAAAATTGCAGCTTTCACAGTACTAGTATAAGTTCACAGTTAGCTGAAGACATCTAGGTTTTTAAAACCTGGATCCAGTGAAAATCCCAAATTAAGCAAATTATTAAATTCAGGGGTCAGTTTGACAGTTTACTTGGAATGGAAGGCAGAACACATTGGGGTCCTGTTTAACAGGTAAGGGAAGCCTTGCTAAGTGGAATTATTCAGTAAAATAAACGTATCGATAACAAATTATTACACATAAGAGCCACAGAGATGAAGACGGAGTGTGTGTGGGGTGGTGTCTACATGCTTGGCATTCATTTTCATCAGCATGTTTGACTCCTCAATGCTTGTTTGCTGTATTAACTGAAGCCTTTTTTCCCCCTTTCACAGGATTGTGTGCCAGATTTCTGACGCCACTGGCTACAGGGTTCAGGAGGCCCACGTTGAAGTGTGTGTGAGGGATTGCAGCTCAGATTACAGAGCCACCTCGCCTAAATCCTTCACCTTTGTGGTGAGTGTTATAAGGTTGCTCAGTTCCTGTGGCTGTTCGAATTATGGGTTCCAATGCCATCCCTCTGCTCTTCCCTTTATTCTTTGCAGCTTCAGTCATACATCACAAATTTAACAAGAAAGGACAGAATTTGGTTCTTTTAAAGAAAAATACTGACGCTGTAGTCATGGTAGGGCTAGGTGGAATCCTGCGTAGATTAACAATAATGCTGTTCTCAGATTTTCTGAGGTTCTGGGTTGAAAACTGCTCATCTTAAATGTCTGTCCTGGTTTCCTGTGAATTCCACCATATTACCTTTGGCATCCATTTCTAAGGAAGAGCTGAGAAGTGACTGAAGGCAATTTTGCCTTTAAGAGGTCCAAGTGCTCAGCTGTATGTATTTGTTTTTGATTACAACTGAGAACATTGCATTTTGTCATTTGCATTTCTGTATCTTCGTTCTTTTGTCATATTTTACGTTAGGGCCCTTTGTGTTTTTTTCTGATTGTCTAACTACCTGCCTCTTAGTACAATTTGAGACAGTCCTTTGAATTAAAGCATCAGTAAGCCCTGTTAATTGTAGCCAAGTGCAGTGCTTGTAGACCAGCAAGGAATACAGAAGAAAGGGGCTCCTGAACTTAATTTAACACTTTAAAATCAACTGTACTGTTTCGCATGGTAGTGCCTCACAAGTCAGTTTACATTGCATTTGAATAACTGTTTTTTTGCTTTCCCCTAGACCCCCTATTTTACCAAAGTGAATCCATCGAGAGGTCCAGTCTCTGGAGGAACACAGATAACTATTGAAGGGAATCACCTAAATGCTGGCAGCGCAGTCTCAGTTAACATTGGGCTCCATCCGTGCAAGTTCGAGAGGTGAGGGTGTTGTCCTATTCTGTACACAGTTTAAAATGTAATTGAAATGTGTAATAACAGTTATGGTATGCCTTTTCCACACCACAGAAGTGGACTTGGGAAAACTAGAGCTGCACAGTGAGTTCATCATCTTATTAATCCCGCTCTGGGATAAGGACCTGAACAGTGAGGTTAAAACAAAATACTATCTATTCTGTGCTGCCAGCTGTAGTGTTATAGAGGTAACATTGGGGAACATTTGAATCACACACACAGCAGAGAAAATGGGTACGTGTGTGTTTAAAGCATTTCACAGTGCTGCGCTCAGCGTGCAAGACCATTATTAACCATCACTTAGGTCCTGAACATTTTTTATTGGGTGATGTGGAAAACAGAATTGTGACTTGGGGATAAAAGTGTTAAGGAATAATCGAGCAGAAATGGATGAATGTCCTTATTGTTGACTTTCATTCTCCCAGCTTGATATGACAGGTGTGGTTTCTTAAAACCTAATTAATTTCTCAGTTTTTTTAAATGTAATCTGTCCTTTATTTACAATGAAGTCCTAGTTATTGACAGGGTTCCATGAAATAATCGATAAGGCTCTGAATTTACATGATTTGTTACTTATTTTTTAACACATTGAGGATTATGGCAGATACAGAGATTAGGTTTTATTGTCCGTGCAAACTGGCCGTTTTGAGTCAACTGGTGGATCTGTTGTTTTTTTACATGGGTTTACTATTTTCTTACCAAACATGTTGCATTTTTTAAATATTAAACAAGCTTGGTAGGTGTCTTCTAATGTCTCATCAGGAAGATTCATCTCAAGGTTTGACAAATGGAGATTAGATTAATAAAAAATGACACTGAGAAAGAGTAACCCTAAATTTACTTTTGCTTTTTTAATTTACAAAATGTAATTTTAAAGGTTTGTAAATATCTTTGCTTTGTTAGCATTTCAACATCTTTTCATTGAGCTATATATGTATAAAAATATTTAAAATATTGTTATTATTAAATATGTTATTTTTATTTTAAAAATTAGAAGTGGCCTTTTTTTCATATAACATATCAGTTCTCTCTCGCCCCCTAGTGGAGATAGGCCAGAGGCAAAAGAACCAGAAAATAAATTTGTCCTGCAGAAAAATGGTCATCCTTGGATTATTATAATTTGGATTATTAAAACTCAATGCATTCTTAATAGTGATTAAATTTAATTTTAGGCTGCTTCTTTAGGTTTCTAATTTCAATCTCCATCAACACTCCAACCCCTCAAAAAATTAAACATTTGCAATCAGCATACCGCAACACTTAAAGTAATGTAGCTATGAGCACTAGAGGAAAAATGTAAAATAAAATAATGTTAGTGTGAAAGAATGCCTCAAATGTGGAACTGGGATGGGAGCCTTTTCTAGTTTTTCATCTGAAGCGCTGTTCTGTGCTAATGTGTGAAGCAGAAGTTTTAGACCTCTGTGTTTTGTTTTATAAGGATTTTTACCTAAGAAATAACCCAAGCGCTTCTCTCTTCTTCCCCTTTGTGTTTGTGACAAACGGCTTGTCAAAATATGTACAATCAATCTGTTGCTTGAAGATACATGTTATGAAAGAGGTTCCCATGGAAACATTTAGAAAAAGAGAAGCTCTAAAGATGTTTCTTGGAAGCATTCAGTGAAAACCTGCCTGAAATTTCATAGCAATTGTTCTTCATACTTACAAATAAGTGGTGGTATTTCAGCAGATTAAGGGTAGATCTGTGTGGGGGGAAAAGGAAAAGTGCATAAGCTTGCATGTGTTTGGGGTAATAATGGTTTTCAATAAAATAAAACAGTAACCCTTATTTCTTTAAGCACAGTATGTCTTTATACAACATCATGCATCATTAAAATGATAGCTTTTAATGCATCAAACTTGTCCTTAATGTAAAATTGAATTTTTCTGTTTGGCTTGATGAAGATAGTTACAGCACGCGAGGCAATGTAATACCAGAGACAGATCAAAGATCATTCATCTTTGCACTGCAGGCCTTTTTTGCAGCTTCTGATTTCCAAGTCTAACTTCCCTTCTTTCTGTCCGTTGTCCTGCAATTAAAATGAGTTTATAGTGTCAGCCAAAGAAATGTTTTGAGAGTGAAATATTGATTGAATTCTAATGATAATATCGCTGTTTGGTCTGAAATCTTGACCTCTGTAACTTTGTTTTGAATGTTGAAGCTCTAATTTAAAACACCAATAGCGTCGTTTAGGATTTTTATGGTATTTACTGTGCTTAAACCACACTAAAAACTATAAATGACTTAAACCTCTCCAAAGCCTCATTTTTTTATTTTCTTTAATCCAAATATCTGATCTAAAACCAAATCCAGTAATGTGTTTATTAGCACTTTTAAGAAATGTCTGTTAAAATTAAAATAAATATTTTTGTATTCTATGCTCAGTATGTATGTTGAATACAGTATATGTCTGTGCACTCTAGGATAATGTATTAAAGGAAATTGTAAACAGAATCCATGTGTGGAATTTTCAGTGTTATGAAAATCTTTTGCATTCCATCCATGTTTATATAAAAATGTAATATTGCCATTTCAGTTTTATACTTCTATCATTCAGAGAACTTTTGCCTAGAATGTTTGTAAGCCAACATTCTGTTTACTGCTTTAAAAGGCTTTTATTTAAATATAAAAGCTGTTTTGTTGCTAATTAGTTTATTGCTCCATACATTTCATCGAACACGTTCAGGACCTCAACTTTGATAACGAGGCTGGGTAGGTTTTTTTTCCAGCAATAATTAAGAGGCAAGAGTCCGTGCCAAGGTATTTGTATGTTGATAAATAACAAATGATGCCCATCTTTTTCAGGAGGAGCGCCAGAGAGATTGTATGTGTGACCCCTGCAGGTCAAAGTTCAGGGGGAACTCCTGTCATGGTGGATATCAACTGGGCGGAACTGAGGAACCCGGAGGTCAAGTTTAATTACACAGAGGACCCGACAATCCTGAAAATAGATCCGGAGTGGAGCATTGCCAGGTAAGTGACCCCAGCTGGGTGAACAAAAGGCCTAATAAAGTATTAATAAAATCTAAGATCGCACTGCTTAAACCTTTTATTTTCTTTTTCATATATCAGTCTTATTTACTGTGGAAGGTTTCATCCAATGTACTTACCACAGAGATGAATAGTGATAAACATTTTCAGAATTGGCTAGAGCAGTTGATTCTCAAGATTTCCATTTCTGGAAATATGTCATTGCTAAGGAACACACTTTTCAAACCAGTGATTTCAGATTGGTCCTTTACTATAGGTCAATATAAAGCTAGTTGGTCTCGGAGATAATGTCATAATATGATGCGATAAATTGCATTGCATGCAGAGTACAAACAGCCTTCAAAGTAAAATAATGAAAATACTGTTTCAATTATTTAATGTGCATCATATGCAATTAAGTATGTGAGGAGCAAGTGTTAATTAAACATTCTTTAGAGAACTTAATTTTCTTTCCAGGTTTTCTTGAAAGTTCCTAAGACTGTTAAGATCCTTAAAGATCACCCCTTAAGTGCCTGCAGATGAGCGGTATAATTAGACGATTTCTGACTTAAATATTTTTGTTTCTGTGCTGTGGAAAATGTTAGGAATGTTTCTTTCTTGGAGTCAGATGAATTTGAAAGTGTCAGATTAGGAGAAGCAAGCTAAAGGCTCTCCCATGGTTTAGGCATCTGCTTGTAATCCTGGTTGGGCCCTACGTTAGAGATTGCCAGATGAAATCTGGGCTGTGTCATTTGTTAGCTGTTACTAGGAACCCTCTCGTCTCTTGTTTTGTACTGTGCCACTTGTTTTGGTACAGGGATCTAAATCGTTAAACAAGAAAATGACAGCTGATATCAAATTCATTTTTTAATAAGGTAAAGGATACTGTGATTTGAGAATGTTACTGTGTAACAGCAAGCATACTTTCTCAAAGGGTTTCTTACTAATGCAGTACCGAATCTCCTTCATTAAACTTTTCTCAAAGCTTGTGAGACCTGTAGATGTGCATCTGGTTAATGCTGATAAACCAGCAGCCAGAGTTCTCGGTCCCAGTGCATTTCCTGTCAGAATCAGCTTAAAAACCTTTCAACGAACACTGATAGGAACTGAAGGTAATTCCCGCTTGTGAGCTGTGCTGATGATCAGCTGTGCATTCCCTGCTGATTTAGGCGGTTGTTTGGCATTTTCAGGGCCAGATGATGTAGGCTATTAATGAAGCTGGATGGTCATCCCAAATGTCTCAGAGCACAGATCGCTGTTCCAGCTGGATGAGTGAAACCGTGGTTCAGTGCATACCAGATTTGCCAATGCTCATGTTATAGCCTAACAAAACGAAGGTCCTGATTCCTCCACTAAAGCCTTTTCTTTCAACTGCCCCTATATTATACTTATTGTTGACAGCTTTGACCGAGCATTGGACCAGTGTTTGTAAATCTACAGTATACGTGTCTTGTGTTTCACATTATATTCAAGATTTGTGAAAACCTTGTTGCTGAGTGCACCCACAATCCCACAGCTGTGCCTCCAGTGATGTACAAACATAAAAAGACTTTACATATATGAACCTATGCGCTCAATATGGTTAAAAATGATTGTCACTGTTACTGTTATTTATTTTATGAAGTGCTAACTGAATACAGATTGCATACCGTAAATGATGTGCTCTGATTAAGATGACGGGTGTCTAAAAGCACTGTAATACGCCTGCTTCAACTGAAACATGATTCATCTATTTATTTTGCTAAATGTCAGACTCAGGTAAAATAATAGTTCTTTGACTTTCCTCTCTCTTATTCAAGTTTTAATGGAAGAGGCTAATTGCTGCTTTCTGTAACTTTTTAAGGGTATAGCAAAGGTTTTGGACAAAGTGAACACAGGCTGTGCAGATAGCTGCAGTGTTTGCAAATAATTTTATTTAAAAAATCTTGTTCCTAGATCAAAATACGAGTTCCTAGAATTGACATTAAATTAGAGCCATGGAACTTTTAAAGGAAGCACACAAAAATGATTATGCAAATCAGAAAAGATTTACCGAAATGATTTTTAGTGCCAAGATTTAGGGGTACTGAAGAGAGATAAACTCATGACAGGTTTGAAAGAAAAACAGAGGTGTGAACCTTACGTTCACAGCTAGAAATGAGCTATTTCGTACAGAGGAGTTTTCTAAAACATATTTAAGAAAGGTAAACATGAGAATCAAAATCTGTTTGTAGTGATCTAATCAAATTGCCTTGATCGATATCTTTTATCTTTTCTGTAGTGGTGGAACTTTGCTGACCATTTCTGGCACCAATTTAGCCACTATCAAAGAACCCAAGATAAGGGCCAAGTATGGTTCTGCAGAATCCATCAATGTGAGTACTAACACCTCCACCTATGACCCAGATGGTCAACCTATGCTCTGCATTTTAGACAAGGCTTTGAATCACCTTCTGGAAGTTTAACCTTTGAAATGTCAACAGATAATAAACTAGATATGGCAATTCTCTTGTGTAGTATCAGAAGCACAGGGTTACCTTTTGCTTGAATTATACCTGAAGTAAAATATTATAGCTGGCTGTTAGCAGATTTATATGTATTTGTAATGTTCTTTCAGTGTATGACATTGGATTTGGTTCTAAAAAATAGATTTATAGATTTTTTTGTTTGTTTAGATTATATAAGTATATTTTTCATATGTCATATTGTAATGCATTACATAAAATCGAACATTTTAGACTTTGGAAATGGTTCATCGTTTTTGCTGGATACATCGTAAACTTCACACAGTAGATTAAACTGAAACTAAAATACAGTGCTAGATGTGGTGTACTGTATGTATTGAAATGTCAGTTTTCTGTGCTTGTCTCTGTTTCAGAATTGCACTGTCCACAATGACACCACAATGGTATGCTTTGCTCCTTCTGTGGCTGATACAGAGAAAAGCTTCTCTGACAGTGGAGACAGGCCAGATGAAATTGGGTTCATCATGGACAACGTCCAATCTGTGCTCATCATCAATGAAACAGTGTTCAGTTACTATCCCGACCCTGTCTTTGAGCCGCTGAGTCCCACAGGAATCCTGGAACTCAAGCCAAGCTCTCCTCTTATTCTCAAGGTAGAGAGTCTACATAATTCAACCTCTTTGGCCCTCCATGGCCATATATTTTTATTTGTGCTCCCCATTTTGACTTTCCAATTGTCCACTCCCAGCAGCCATCACAAGGGGAATGAGGAAGGGCAGACAGGCTCTTCTGACTTACCTAACTAAGGAGGCTGGCATCTTTTGTCATTCTGCAAGCACCACAGTGACTTCTAGGAGCGTTAGATTAATTGAAGGATAGGCACGGCACTCACCAGCAGCCCTGCAAACCCCCTAAAATAGAAGACATTTGTTGCCTCCTCTGTGCTCTGCTAGTAATCCTGTGTGCACCAGTAATTGTTTTAACAATGTTTTTTTTTTTCATTTCTGTTCCACTCTGAGAACCCTTTGTAGATACTGTCAGACACAATGTCAAATTAAGTGCATTTGTTAAATCAGCTCTTTGTAAACTTAAAAATATTGAATGTGTTAATTGATTCTGATCAGTTAACTTAATTGATAGTTGAAGCTGTAATGAAGCCTGGCACCCTATATTTGATGCACATGGTACTGCATCTTCTACACTGATAATTTTGTGGCTTTAAATCTTTGCTCTCTAGCATAATACGCTCCTGCCCATCACAAATTTTCACTGTTTAATTTCAGAGGCATTCAAATGTTTCATCTGTTCACTAACATGGCTTTTCTCCTGAGGCTGTCCACCGGATCTCTTGCAATCCCAACTCCTTACAAGAATTTTATCTTGTACTGTGATGAACTGTATGTTTTAGTAAAACGTTCTTGTGGTTCTTGATTGAAAAGCTGAGATTTTCTTTAAAGGGACGGAACCTGATTCCATCAGCTCCTGGAAACTCCAGACTGAACTACACTGTTCTTATTGGCGAGACCCCCTGCATGCTAACACTTTCCGAAACGCAGCTTCTCTGTGAGTGGCCCAACCTCACTGGCCAGCATAAAGTGACTGTAAGTATTTGTACCCTTTGTGTTTCAAACTGAAATGTCTACTATCCTAATCTGGTCTGTGTAGCAGGAGGATTCCAGTTTGGTTCAGCAGTACCTCAGACAACACAGTAACTCATCTCTTACCCATCCAAGCCAAATAAGTCTGCATGTGCATTATCACTGAGAAACCTTTTTGTTTTCTATTTAATTGTGCTTGAGGTAAGAGTAAACACACCAGCTGAACCTGAGTAAACATTATGGAAATTAAGTAGAAGAGATAACGTCAGATTCCATGACAGCAGTGAATTTGGACCTGGAATTATTTTGGTTATCCTTCTACCTCTGCTCGCATTTTAAGTAAAGAACTTCTACGCTGTATTATAGATGCCATTAAATGCTTCAGTCTGTGTTTTAAAGCAAAAGTTTATGGGATTTAGTTCTCCTCATTAAAGTTGCTTTTTGTTGGGCTTTTAGAGTATTTTGTTAGTTATTAAGTTATTCATTTAACATCTGTGTCCCCTACTTTGTCATTAAAATCTCCCATGCCCATGTAGATTGTTTACAAGAAACACAGTAGCTGTCTGTGAAATCATAGTTGGTTTTAGTGTAACTTTTTTGGAAAGGGCACCTGTACCTCTGAAAATCAGTGATTTAGTTATTTTTTGATAAATGAAGGACTAGGAGGTCAAAAGATTGATACTGCAAAACTTTTTGTAAGTGCTACATAAAGTACTATATGAAATCTGGAAAATCTGAATAAAGCTGCTTCAAAAATAAGTTGTTGACAATTCCTAACAATGGGGGTAATTAAGATGTAAGGAGAAATTTAAAAACAAAGTGGCTACAGATTGTGTTAAAAATATAAATGTGTTTTCCATTACCAATCTGCTAACGTTTCTGTGAGGCTAGCCTAAGAACTAAGCACAGATGTGTGCTCTTTCTCTGTAAACTGACCTCCATGTCGTTATAAGCAGAAGTGTTGCATGTGGTCATGTAAGGTTTAATATCCCAGAGAGCTTTCCTCTCTGGCTGCAAATCAGCACTGAAGGCTGTTTGTTTTGAACGGATGGGAGCCCTGTGTTTACTCTGTTTCCTGGGCAGCTGTTTGGTTTCCACTTGCAAAATTCTGGGAAAGTTGTTTCATTTGGACTTACTTATAGAATACTTCTGAATCACATGAGTTTCCTTGTGAGATTGACCAAATTGCAGCCCTTAGAAATCCCCCTTTCTGATTTAACTAACTCCTGGCTTACCAAAGTAGGGCAGGTCTACAGACCAAGACTTCACACATATAATGCTCCATAGAGCTACAAATGAACAATCAATCGAAAAGGCAACATTTTGCTCCTACAGCATATGCTCTATAGATGTTCTCTATGTTTTTTATAACTCCTAAATTCAAACTTTAGATCTTTTTTTAACAAATCAGTCCTTAATCTAGAGAAATCAGAAATTACTAGACTAGAAATTTACATTTAATTTGGACTGTTGAACAGTAGTGAAAAAGGTTGCCAGACACATGACAATATCTAGAATATTTCCACTGTTTAGAAAGGGAGGATTGCTTTAAGGGATTACTGCTAGAGGCTACTGCCACAAGTTACTCTTTCACACAAATATATTGAATGCTGGATATTTTTTTAAATAATTAGAAAGTAGACTGTTTGTTTTATTTGTCAAATTAGGTTAGTTTTAGCTACTGTTCAGACTTGGAGATACTGTAACTAGGTGAAGATCAAATGTCTGAATATGTTTAACAATAATATATTAAGGGTGTGTAACTGCCTTTCTTTTCTTCAATGGCCTGCAGACTTTGTCCAAGATCAAACAGCCTATGCAAAGAGTGTCAAGGCATTGCCACTTTGCTGTAGTCCTTCTATTTAATGGATATGAACCATCTTTATCATGAATGTTCCTGTGCACGTGCCATTTTACTCACTCTGTGAGGCTCTGTCTTGTCCTGTATTTATTAAGACAATTGTTTATAACCTTAAGGCAAATGTTTGTAGCTCCAGACCAAATTTGTGCTTTGCCAGTAGAATTTATGGCTCCAGAATGAATATTATGTCTTTTCAATGTGTGCACATACTGTAGATATGTAGATTATTTTATATTAGGGATATAATTCCTTTTTACCATGTCTAACAGCATTTACCCTGGGATGAAACGGTAAAAAGAGAATCGATGCATTTCTTTCTTTGATGTGTAAAAAATAAAACCTGACTGGCTATCTTACAGTTTTTTTCTTACACTTTAAAAGCCATCCCAACACTAATCAGCGTAATGTTTCTTAACCTTTTCAGTAGAACACTTCACTGAATTTCTACCCGATTGAAAAAGGTATAATTGCAATTTTGCATAGCTAGGAATCATGATAATTGTGGTTTGTCCTTTCGACACAGATTAAAGCTGGTGGCTTTGAGTACTCTCCGGGGACACTGCAGATCTACTCAGACAGCCTCTTGACTCTGCCGGCCATCATCGGGATTGGAGGCGGAGGTGGCCTGCTGCTCCTCATCATAATCATTGTTCTCATCGCCTACAAGCGGAAGTCCCGCGATGCTGACCGTACCCTCAAACGTCTGCAGCTGCAGATGGACAACCTGGAGTCCCGGGTAGCACTGGAATGCAAGGAAGGTGAGAGATCGTCCAGCTCCTGGAGCTCTGTAAGAAATCTGGAATTGATAGTCCATCTAAAGAAAGGGTTTGAGCATGTATTCCAGGTCATTTCCTTTAGCAACAAAAGCAAAATACATAAAGTTATAGAGTCAAGCCAAGATTGGTGCTCCTGGATTCATTTAAGGCTCGTTTCTTCTGTTTTCATATCTTCCTTGCTCATCAGCTTGCTGTCATGGTCTATGGCTGCTAATGTTGATGGCGTTGAGTACCTCCTATGACTGTGACAGTGGCACTGGTTAATGCTACTGATATTGTGTAGCTACAGTATGTTGTATCCTGTATCTGCTCTGGACTGGCTCTGCAGCTTGGATCATTGGTGATATTTTTATAGACTTTAACTACAATTAGGTTTTAGATTGATCAATGTGCACAGACATCCAGATGCACACAGGGGTTCTGGTCCATGCTTGCTCTACTGTAGATTCTTCCCTTTCTTATTTTGGCTTCTATTTGACTAATAAAAGGAGTAGCCATTTAGTAAATCTGGTCTGTTTTTAAAGGTAATTATGTCCTAGTTACTCAGGGTGTTCCACATGTTTCAGTGCTGGGTTCATGTCCAGAAGTACACAGACTTAAAACATTTTACCACAATATACGTATAATTCATATCCTGTGCAAATTGCATGGCCTCACTGGAAAAATGTTTTAAGCACATCAGAAAAGAGTGTTAATGTGTAACTTATGTGTAAATAGGTGTTTTTTACTCTTGGATTTATTTGATCATTTGACTGTAAAGAGATTTTTAAATAAGGAGTATTTTAGGTGATCACTTTTGTACAACACTTCTTAAATGTTATTTACTGTTTTATGTATTCTAGCTACACGTATGCAAAATATATTGTAGTGGTCAATACTAGAAGGTTAAAGACAAGTCTGAGTTTTTGCTGTGTTATTAAAATTACTTTCAAAACATATTTGCAAAATGTTTTCAGATTGTAGACAGTTAAATTGAGTCACTTAAATTATTGAATCTTGGGTGTTAGCGGGTTTGTTTTGTTTTGACAACTGGGCTGAGTGCCTGCTTGCATCCGATGCAGAGAGTATGTAATTGGCCATTATCTCAATGTGGCTGTCCAGAGGTCATGACCTTGCCAATCAGTGCTTCAGTCTCGCCAAAAAAAAGAAATCTCATAGAATGAATTTGTGGAAAGGGAGGATGGATCTTGAGTCATGAAAAAGCAGAATGTTTTGTGCCTTTACAACTTACCCTTTATTCTCATTTCATTACAAGCCAGCATTTTTTGTACTTAACTCTGTTTGCTTTTCTCACATTTTCTTTAGCACATCCAGAAAGTCTTTTCATTAACAAAGATTAAAGATGAGAAAAATAATGAAAAACAAGCTTGTCTTTGTGATGTCTCAAAATGTCGGTAATTATTTACGTGACTTTAACAGGCTGGGACTGAAGCTGTGTTTCGGGATTGTTGAACACACAGAACTCCAAGGACATCAGAAGCTAATATTAAGCAATCAAAAACAAAAATCATAATATGGAGAAAAGAAAACAATTCTGAGCTTGACAATGAAATCATATTGTGCAGAATTCTTAAACCATCTTTTTGCTTTTGTCCTGAACAACTCTGTGTGAATATACTTGCTCTGTTAGATCAACTTGTGGTTCCAATTTGGCCAACTGAGGCATCCCATTGCTGTGAGCCACAACCTCGGAACTAGTGATCTGTAGACAACAGGGCCTGTGCTGTGAGCTGAATCTTTCACTAGAAAAGGCTCCCCAGCCCAGAGAACGTTGTGCTAGAGAGCTTTCTTTGATAAAGCAGTTTAATGATCACCCTTCTGGGCTGCTAATAAAACTTTTCTGTGGTAATTGTGCACTGATGATATAGTTGATTAGATACTTGTCTTTACATCTTTCATTAACCCTCTTGGTCAGCATGCAGGGCAACTTCATTTTAGCCTTTGCAGATTTACTGCCTTTTTGTCTCTGAGAACAGAGGGACTACTAGCAGGTGTTACAGCTTTGTAGTGGCTGTTTTATGAAACAGAAAACAGGAGATGTAAACTACCTTAATTAAGCAAAGAATAAACGTTTGTTTACCTCCACTCTCCTGTGATTGAACCATTGATTATATGATTGAGCAGGTGCAAAATAATGCAGAAAAAAGATTGGGAGATCCCTAAATACCAACAAGGCAACAAGGGAAAAATGTGGAGTGTGGAGTGTTTTATACTTCCTTAAAAAGGCACCATCTGAGTATGTTGTATTTTGATAACGGAAGAAAGCAGAATGTGCACGAGCACAAGACGGACCAACAATTGCTCTAGGAGGGAAGAGACAAGATACTAAGCTATAGTTATGGAGCAAACTAGTGACATGATTAATTTGTGAATTGTTTATTTGTTGAATTTTTTTTTCTGTTAACATTTTATAATGTGACCAATCTGGGGGAAAATATATAGAACCATTCATTATTGCTTCCAGTGTTGTGCTCTTCACTGGTTTCAGATTCTGTGGTTGTTAATTTTTACCTAGTGTACTGATACTGGAAGTGGTTTTGTCAATGAAAAAGCAAGCGGTTGCTATAATTGAAAGGCCTGGTGGCTTATATTCTGAGAATATGAGAATAATGTGGGAATAATGTCATCTCCATTTCCCATGATTCAAATAATCTCACAGCAACAAATTACATCTGTAATGAAAATGCAGAAATAGGCAGATTTTTTTCCAAGCTTAATTTTCACTGTGAGCATGTATAAAAAAATAGCTGTATAAAGATACCCAAGCTGACCTGCTAGTGCAAGACTTCCTAACCCTGGTCCCTCGTCTCTTGTTTTTAATTCAAGCTGAGCTCTTAACAATGTAATTGAATAAATGACTTACCTAATTGGGTAATTAAGTTTTTTGTGTTTTAAGCTGTGAGACTGCTCGTGATTTTATATCGCCTATAAAATCTACCAGAAACTTGAAAACAGACACTTTGTTGGAGTAGAAATCAATCTTAAAATGTTTAAATTATTAAATATTTAATAAAGGCAAGTCATTAAGAACTCATTTGGAATGAAAGAGATTGGGGATACAAGGACTAGGTTTAATTGTATCATCAGTGTAGATTTTGCAGGGTGGTCAAGCAGGTAGGCATAGACATTGGAAAAATTAGCACATTCAATTCAAGACAAGGTTTGCCCATATTAAAAAGAACTGACACCTTATCAAGAGAGCTGTTCATTTTAGGAAGATTCTGATGGCATTAAAATACATTTTATGTCTTCTCTTTTCATCTTTTTTATTTAAATCAGAAAGCCTTAAATCAGTATCTTTGAGAATGATGAATATACAGTAAATCTATTCGTTTTCTGTACTCTGTATATTCAGAATATTGAGAATAATTCACAAATTAGAAGCTCTGTATTACCAGAAGGTATTTGAATAAGCTCCACTTTACAATCTTAACAGGTTAATCAATCCTCCCAGTTTCATTATTTTTTTACTTTAAGATTCATTGAGACTGTAAAGCGTTTTGAAGCCAGTCTGGTATGAGGAGTGTTTTCTGTTTTATATACATTTGCTACAGTTTGAGTGAAACAAATGCAATTAAACTTATATTTAAATAAACATATACAACTATACCATTGTATACCATTAAGTTGTTGGTGGGTCAGCGATAGAACGCAGAATGCAGAAAAATTTAGTCATTTAGTGTACATCTAGTCATATAATACATTCGTTTATTCTTTCAATTCTTGTGTTTTATTCATTAAGCACACTTCCTTGCGTTAGTGATGTCTCTATTTTTAAGATAAACAACTTTTTTTTTTGGTTCTATTCTGTTGCATTTGATACTTCGATTTACTGAAAATACAACTTAATAGAAGCGTTTTGCAGATATGAGTGATTTGTGTTTCTTTGAAAATGAAGATGAAATGCAGTTTATCACTGTACCCCACCTTCTTTTTCTTGTGTCAAAGGATGCTGACAGCACTTAAATTAATTTGAACCAGGTGCCACTAAGCATCTGTTATCTCCCACTGATTTCATAAAGAGACTATCAGAAGAGAAGTTTCCATTGACTGTCCAGATAAGAAAGACCTGATCTTAAAGCATATTTTCTGTCATTGAAGACCAGGTGGGATTAGATTTTAATGTCAGAGGAATCTCTTCATTTCATCTTTAGAGATGTAATAGCTGGGTATCAGCTGAGGAGAGAGGGTTTAAGAGGCAAATGTGGGCAATGTTAATAATAAAAAAGTCTGTTCCCTATCAAAGAAAGCTATGCTGAAGGATAGATTTGGCCTGAGGGAAAGCGAGATTTTCACTTCACAGCTTTATCTTCATTGGCCTGAATTAGGCCCTTATCAGCTAGCCTCTACACTCGATTTTCATTTTTCTCTCATCATACAAACTGCTTTTTTTTGTTAGTTCCCATTTTTATAATGAATTCACCTCGTCTTAATTAACTGCACCTTGCTGTGTTTCCATAAATGACTGCAGACACTTGCTGAATGCACAACCAGTGTTTGATACTCATAATGGATGAACAAATAAAAAGATATGTGGTTTAGAGATTACTCTGTGTCTTATCAACTTTAAACTTTAGAGCTTAACTAGGACCATAACCTACAGTATAGCACTCTAGTTTGGCACTTTTCTGTAGACAGTATTTTATTGAAAAAAAATTGGAATTAGTAGTTTAGTTTGCTTTTATCCATCTTCATTTTTACCTTTTTGTTTTTGGTAACACATAGCTGTTCTCTTGTAGCTTTTGCAGAGCTGCAGACTGATATCCATGAGCTCACCAATGATTTAGATGGGGCTGGGATTCCATTCCTGGACTACCGGACGTATGCAATGAGAGTGCTTTTCCCTGGCATAGAAGACCACCCAGTGCTGAAAGAGATGGAGGTACTGTATACTGTATAAAGTTTCATTTGGTGAGGCAGTGCTTTGAGTAAACGCACAAAATGGGCATTGTTGTGAAATGAGTTAGAATAAATGCAATGAGAAAAGTATCTGAAAATCTTTGCCAGTCAGTTGGAGATGTGTATTGGAAGAAAAAGCTTACTTTCTGGTGCTAATATGCTGGCACAGTGGTAAAGCAAATCCCCTCGCCGGATAGAAATTGTATGTTCGCATATTTTTAGAAAAGCTAAGAGGTTAGGCCATCACTTATGAAATAGCCATACAGTTAGCTCGTTTAAGATGCATCAGTGTACCTGGAGTGTCACACTTAATTTAAAGCTTCTGCAGTTTCTCTGGAGGATTAAATCTAAGACCTTAGATTACAAATGCAAAGAGGCTACTCTGCCCATGTAGCCCATTTGAACCAAGCATTTTGTTCATCCATTTCTTGAAAGACACCAAGGCAACAACATCTGAAGATTTATTTTGTATTTAGGTGTGTGTGTGTGTGTGTGTGTGTGAGAGAGAGAGGACAGTGGAGAGTGACAGATTTGGACATTTCCCCAGTCCATTTATGTGCTAGGAAGAGACTGTCTTCAGCTGTTTTTTTTCCCATTTAAAACTAACTAGGGAGATCTTACAATTGTTCATGAACGTAGCTTCCTGTTCAATTAAAAGTGGCAGGTGCCAACACTCGGAACCAGCAGGGCATGCAAAAGAACGATGTCCTTAGAATGTGCTTGGGATGCCTCTCAGATTCCCTTTCAAGATGCAGCTCTCTCTTGTGCTGCTGATGTTCATATCAGATTGCCTTGGGGATTGGATTGCTTGGGGGCTGTACAAAGACCCCTTTGCTTTTCACAGTTCCCTGAATTGTTTAAAGGGGAAGCATATTTGACCGCTGTGAAGAATGTATGATTTCCAGGACTACATTCAGTACAGTAATGTAAGGAAGTGGTTCTTGACTCCATTTTCACAGTGGCCCACACACAGTTCCCCGTCTATGTTCTTTGTTTTTTTTTAGGTGTGTGGGATTTCATTGAAGGCTGGAAAAATTAAATTCCATTTCGGGGGACTTCTGTCTGTGGTAGTTATTCTAAATTAGGCAAAAGTGGATTACAAATATTTCAGACCTTCTGTGTTGTTTATTCAAGGTACACAGTAATGAAAATCATCTTGGTTTAGAACCACGAAACTTTTAAGCTTTTAGTGACAAAATGGAACGAGAAAACATTGTTGATTAGTAGTAGTGCTTTCCTACCTAAGAACTTCTCCTCTAAAATCCATTTTAAAGTGCTGTGAACTTTTGAAATATTCATTTGGATTACAATCGGCTGTGTAAAATTAGCTTTGTACAGCAGGATAGCTGTATATCTAGCCTGTCTGGCAGCAAATTACAAATGTGTGAGAGTAGTTATTGCATTCATTGCCTGTTTAGTAAGCCAAGAGACTGCTGTGCTTCTGGGTAGCAAATCATGCAGAAATAATTCCATGCTAGGCCTCAGACCACACTTGGGTGTAAAGGCTTCCTGTGAGATTCTCCTAAAACAAAGCATGTGGCAGGCAGAACCTCAGCCTTAACTTTTTTAATTTTGCAGTGATCCCTTTAAGGTTTATTGCTCTCAGATAAGGGGGGGAGGGGGGTAATTTAACTTCTCTAGTCAGCAATGCTCAATTTCAAAGCAAGGTGCACAAATGCTGAAAAATATTTGTAGGTTAAATTTGTCAAATGGTGGTATAATAATCGGCTCCATTCGAGCGTGCGTTGTCAGCGTCTTTCTTCAACTGCATAAGGCATTTTTTCCCCTGTTTGATCCTGTTTCTGTGGAATCAGGTGCAAGCCAATGTGGAGAAGGCCCTGAATCTGTTTGGGCAGCTCTTGAACAAGAAGCACTTCCTCCTGACCTTTATTCGGACCCTGGAGGCCCAGCGAAGCTTCTCCATGCGTGACCGTGGCAACGTGGCCTCCCTCATCATGACAGCGCTGCAGGGAGAGATGGAGTATGCCACGGGTGTCCTCAAACAGCTCCTCTCTGACCTTATAGAGAAGAACCTGGAGAGCAAGAACCACCCCAAACTGTTGCTTAGAAGGTAAGCCTGCAAAGTGATCAAGTTGAATTTATAAACCTCTGAGCTCTTCTCTCAGCCAGCCAGGTTTTTGGATCAGAGCTGGGATAATCCTACTGATAAATGTTTGGAAAAAAGATTTATGAAGCTTTAACTTCAAGGTTTAAAATCCATCCAAGCCGTAAAAGAAATTGAGTGTAAGTTAAAGAAACATTAATTGCAACCCAGATTCCCAAGCCTGGGTTGTCTCTTGCTGGTTGGAGTTGCTGCTTGGGGAAGTCTGCTCATTCTTTCCTTGACGGCCAAGGCTGTGTAAGGGGACGTGTGAGCAGGGTTCCTTCCTGAATAAGGCTTCCTTCTCCTAAACCTGCTTCACTGTCAGGAGTATCGCTGTTGCTGTCAGATGAAGTTACACTCATGAGCACTCACACACATGCTTTTCTAGGATAGAGATGATTTTAGAGGAGAAAATTAGATGGGTGAGATAATACTAATGGACTCCTTGGCAATGTGCTTTGGGATTAAAAATTTAAATATGGCTCCAGAGGTTTCTACTGTCAAATATATAATAGCATATTAGCCCTTAATATCTTAATACGGACCAAGATCAGTTGCTGTAGCCTCATTTTAAAGCCTTTAACAATCTTAGTTGAATTCCATGAATGCTAATTGTCTGTTGTTGATTTACAAAGAAAAACAGATATAACATTAAAAAATCTCTTTACTAACATTGTATTAATAGATTAATCATTTTACAGAATTTAACAAGGCATTTGTATTATCCACTGAAAAAAGTCATTCATGAGTAATTAATCTCTCTAATTAAGTAATCAGAGGACATATCATTAAACATCCATTCACCTTTAAGAATTCTGTTCCTTTTTTACATTTTTTCTTTGCTTTGTTTGCATCCTTACCAGCTGTCTTAAAAGAATTTACCACATATATTACATTCTTACAGGAGCTTGTTAAGTTTTATACTTAAAATGCAAATAAGAAGTAGTAAGATCTCAAAGGAAATATACCACTCCATTTCCCTGGTGGGTTCAGTTTATTAAATTTACTGTTTTAATGCCTGTTGGTTGTTTTCGTAAAATGAAGATTCAATGGGATATTGTATATTCATCTCTCAAACAAGAAAAAAAGAAATTGTTGAAAATCATTGTCATTCTTTTCAGACAGGCTTTGCAACATATTGCAATGTATGCTTTTTTGAAGTTATTTGTTTTTTTCTACCCTGTATGATCAATAAATGCTCAAATATTTAGCCAGTTTAATGTTTTTTTTTCTTAAGGAATGATAAAGCAAGCTGTTCTATAAAATCTCCATGCTGGCCAGAAGACAATATCAAGCAACAGAGATAAATTAAACTGCCAGTGGCAGACACAGAGCAGGGCTTGTCTGGGTTTTTCGGCCTGTTAACTGCCAGAGATGTTGGTGAAAAGGCATGTCTATTGGAAATGTCAAGCCTATATAGAACTGCAGTGATAAACCTCTAGGTTGGAGCAGAAAGCCTGCACACAGATATGTATCAGATGATATGTGATGGATTCCAACAGGGTAATGCAAAAATAAACAATAAGTGACACTTTTTTCCAAAGACATGTCAAGAAAGAGCAGCACATTGACTCGAATCGTGCATTTACTGTGCCAGGTGCAACTAAGAGATCACTTTGATGAGGTGTACATTTGCTACCACGAGCCTCATTAGCCTGTTAGCTACACCTGGTGCAGTATGCTGACAGGTTAAAAAAGTGAACTTAGTGCAAATCTCTAGGAGAACAGCTTACCCACTACTGATAAAAATATACGCTGTGGAATGTGCACATATACCTATTCTAGAATTCTTCACCGTTTTGACAAACATAAAGTTGAGGAGACTCTAAATGGGTAAAAGTATCATGTTAAACTCTATAGCAAAATATCACTATTTACTTACTGTTCTTTCTGCTACTTTACTTGCAGGCTCGAACTGTGTTGCTGTATCTTGAGTCTTTCTGTTCCAGTTGAATCCTTTCTTTTTTAGTAAATGTATAATTAAACAGGAGGACGCCTCTGTGGTGCTTTAGGGGGCAAAAAAGGAGAGGAAAAAAAACAAACCATTTCCCCAGATCCCTTCCAAGCTATGTTACAGCATGGAATCTCTCAGTAGTCTTTGCAGAGCTGTTAACAAATTAGAAGTAATAAAGTCCGTTAATTACAGAGGCTTTTAATTACTTTTTCTGGGGGACCGTTTGGAGGTCATTATTATGCACCAGGTTTATGATTAATGAGAGAAGTTACCTAATTATGTTAATTGGTGAATTTTAATGAAGATTAGTTGTTTGTTTTGGGGAAAAAAGTTTTTTTAAGAGACCAGGCGGTCTTTGAAGATACAGAAGGCTTTCCTCATTTTTTTCTGTTTGTGTATGAAGCAGTTTACATTGAAGAGATAAGTGCTAATTAAATACTTTCTATAAAGAAGAATTGCGCATGCTGTAAATGTATTAGTGGTGTTCTCTGCATTTCTAATTGAAATATTTAGACATGAAAATTTTGTTTGGTTTCTTTCTTGTAGAATTTTCAGAGGACATTTAACTGTCTTCAATTTTGCAATTGTTTTAAGGTGGGATTTATTATAAAACTAAAACCACTAGTTATGTTCTGGAATAAATTTTAAAAAACTTCTTTCTTTCAAACAGTAAATATAAAGGCATCATTTGACTCTAAATGTCTGGTTCCCTGCTTGCCAGATGTCTAACATGAATGCAGTAAGAAGCTGCCATCAAATTTTGGGTTTGTTATTTTGGCTATGTTTTCCATTTGACTTAAATAAACCACCTGTATCCATATAAGTTGTGGTTTTTGAATTGTGAAATTGACAGTTGGATCTCAGTTCTTATTTACACTTGGGTATAAGTTGCTGATGAAACCAATAGATTCTTTAGGATATAAACTTGTTCTGACCTATCCTCAATTGGAGGTCCAATCAAAATATTCTTCAAAACTATATTTCTGTTGTCTAGTAGGGCTTCAGAATCATTGCACCTAGGAATTGAATACCTGCTGAAGATTTTAAGTTAAAAAGTTTGGTTGCACCTTTATTTTTTGACAGGAAAACTTAAATTTGAATAATTTTCTGGATGTTCTTAACATCATTTCTCTTCAGTAACAAAAAAATAAATGCAGTGAATCCTTCACAAAAGGTTTAATCTTCATTTTTTTATAACAGATGGTCTCTTTGACAGCACTGTTGGAAAGCTGTGACACTCAGCACTGGGATTTCAATGATTGTTCGTACCTGCTGCACAATCTTTCAAGCAGCACTGATTTCTAAATTTAATTTAACGTTGCACTAAAACATCCTCAGTTACAAATGAGGGTGCTCTAGGTCAACTGAATATTAAATGGTATGATCGTAACATTTCTGTGGTCTGGATTTTCATTTTAAGTTGTGCCTACACAAGGAAATCATTTGTATGTCTTGTGGCATTCTAATTATAAGTATTTTTCTCCTTTTAGGACTGAGTCTGTAGCTGAGAAAATGCTGACAAATTGGTTTACCTTCCTGCTTTACAAATTCTTGAAGGTAAGTCCCAAGTAAAACATGGGTCTGGATTTTAAAAAGGCTGTATTTTCTTCCTTTTCATACTGTATATGGAAGATGTTTTTTTTACAACATTTAACTCAGTATATTTTATATATAGTTTTTTTCCAATTTCCAACTGTCACTTCTTCAAAAGGGCTTTTACTTAATTGATGTCCGTCTGTCCCTTTGTATTTTCAATAGAAACAAAAACCCTTGTTCTTATTGTTCTAACTTGATCTCCTATCATTGTTCTTTTGTTACTAAAGCTCTTTCAGAAGCTAATTTTAAAGGCGATATATAAAATAGTTTATTATTATAAAGACTTAGTCTTATATAAGGCAATCTAGGTTTAACATTAATTTCAGGGCAAACTGAATGACTCTTGACATGGAGATAACATTGTTTTAAATGAGTTTCCTTTGGTTTACTACTCCTGTTGGATCTTCTTGGTAGTCTGGTGCCATGGTTATTCACAAGACCTGTGTCAAGCCCTCTGACTAATGTCTTAGTTCCACAATTTGTCCTGTGGCCTTGCCCCATTTGAAGTAGTGTTCCCCATGTTTGTCCAAGGCTGTAGCTATGAACTGCAATTAAGGGGAGGAGTAAAGGCAATCGTAAGCTGCTGTTTGTTTTTTAAAAAATAAAAATAATTTGCATTGTCTCTTGACGCACCTTTTATCCATAATGTACAGCAGCTTTATTAACGAAGGGTCTTTATACATTATGGATTAGTGTAAATGTAAGGATTTTCCAGACAACAATCCTGTAAAATAATGTCCCAGGAGATATTTCAGCCTACCCTGCTAATATGGCTAATAACATCTAAGCTATTTTCTTGTTTTTGTCATGAAGATGTGGTTCTTTTATGCAATAAATATCTGTAAGAAAGATATGGCTCTTTGTTTTTCAACAGAACATATCAATAAAGCTAAATTCCAGAAGACTGTTTTCCTCATTAATCAGGCTCTAACAAGACAGGCTCAAAAGCATTTCATTGGTTCAAGGAGAAACATTAGGTGCCTGATGATCTGAATCTTTCAATATTTCACATCTTTTTATTTGTCTTTTTTGAACCAAGGTATCTTTGGTTGTAATGCAATGATGTACTTTTTTCTTTTTATTTCACAGTTCAATAAATTATACCTAGAATAATCATGCATTATTCATTTTTTCTTTAATTAGATTTTGGGATTCAAACCGAAGCTTATGAAAATGGATACAATTCTGACCTGTGTTCTGAAATTTTGTATAATTTAATAAATGATAATTCAGAAATGAGGAATGTCATTCCAGGAAACAGGATTACTGGGTTAAACATTTCAGGAAAAAAAGCCTCCTTCATTTTTCATGAATAGATTTTATTACGAAAGACAGTACTAACATTTATTTTGTTTTAATACAAGAGAATAGAATACAACATTTTCAAATATATATATAAATACTCCCAGCATTTTTCTGTTCTCTTAGTAGTGATCACTGCATCTCACAAGAAATGTTAACATTTCAGTTTGATTACAATAGGTTGTTGATTACAATAGTTTGTAGTTTACCCAGTATAATTCACTGTATGTTGGGTAGAAAAAAACTCATGGTTTCTGTGTAAGTGACAGTCATCTGCCCATTTCTGTAACAGGTAATGGGTTAAAATTAGAACAAAGTACTAAGATAATCTGCTTTGCTGTCAATGTAAGCCTAGATTCAATATGTCATTGCTAGATTGATATCTTAAAAGATGGTTAGAAAGATGCAGTCAGATTTAAAGGGTCTTGCATGTGGCAAAATAAATTAATAGTTGTTCCAGTGGATTTAAAATGTTAGGATAGTTATGGGAGGCGTGAAATGTGTTTTCAATTTTGGTTTTACATGTTGCAATTACAAACTTTGACAGCTCTGCAGACGCATATGAACAGCCACTGTTTCCCTGACATAAACGGGAGGACTCTTCATGTATTTTTTTTATTTGCTCTGAAAGGCTGTAGGCTTGATTTTTTATCAGAACTCTTCAAAGAACCTGTGAAAAGAGACAGCTTATAGTTATTAGAAAAATGCACTTTTTGGCAACTTGGTAGACATTCTGTAGCCTCTGGATATCCATTTAGTGCTAATTAAGCCTTATTGTCAAGCTTTTTCTCACAATGTGACTCTTTTAAAATCTTCAGATGTTCCAAAACTCAATCAAATTATTCTATGCTTATCTCTTTTCCAATATTTAATAAATTACTGGTATGAATTCAACACATGCACCAGTAGTGTGGGGGGAAAAAAGTTTTTTTAAGATGAATAGTTGTAGAAATAATACATTTAAAAATGACAGAAAAAGAAATAATTACAGCATTTGTATTCTGTCCATGACGGAGTCCAATACATGGCAGTAGGTTTTTTTTTAACAGATTGTCAGGTAGCTTCCACTCCCACGGTCATTATTCTTGCTCGTTGTGCAACGTGTGAGTGCTTTAACAGCCTGCTTTATCCAAGATGTGGCAAACGGCCTTAATGAAGCCAAAATCTCAAATTAAAGATAATTTCAAAGACAAGCGTGTTATCAGAAGGTCTTGGGATGATGTATGCGTGTTCCCGCTCGTTAGCAGCTGTCTCTTTAATTACTACAGATGCTAACGAGACACTAGCAGCATATGGTGGCAGTGGGAGAGTTGGCACTGGGTGCCAAAAGTTGAGTTTCTACGAAGAAAAAGTTGATTTTTTTTCTTCCTTAAGGAGTTTAAGATCTCCTAAAACTGCGAGCTTAGTTATCCCCAGAAGATCAAGGGTCTCGCCCTCTTCCATGGAAAGAAAGCTTCTTAGAGTGGTGATGCTCAAGTACTCAAGGCCACATTATACCCAGTGAGATCTACATTGCTGAAGTGCTTTTCAAGTTCTTCTGGTTCAATCATTAAGCTTATAGTAACTTATAAATTAATGATCACCTCTTCCAAAATCATAGTGTACTCCCTGCATTTTAAACTTGCTTTTTTTAAGTGTTAAGGGACTTTCTCAAGACTGTCAGTGAGTTACACTCTCTGTAAGTTTCAATACAGTTGCTCATAAAACAATTAAGGCTTAGTAAAAGGTTACAAATTGGCACTTCTTTCTTTCATTTCATTGTTGCTCAGCCAGTGTTTTTTTTGTGTACTTTCAGGGAAACATGATTTTTGGTTAATGTGCTAAGATTGGACTAACCTTTTTTTAGCAACAGGATAATGACTGGAATCACAACACTGCATTTCCTGCGTCGGCCTGTAAGGTTTCCAATTAGAAATAATAGCCATTTCAGTGACATGACTTCTAACTGGCTAAAGAAGATGCTGTAACAGAACTTTTTCTGTTTTCAGCAGTACCATTATATATACTAAGGTAACCGAGTAATAATCTTTGCCATGAGTCAGTCCACTCCCTGACATCGATCATCATTGAGGAGTAAACCTTTAATATTGCTTAAAGGCTGACCTGTTTCTTCCCAAAGGCAGAGACAGCTGAAAGATTTTTTGGAAAGCCTTTCCTTTTGGTTCTGTAATGTGAAACATGTCAGTGTTAAACTGTATTTTTTTATCTCAGGAATGTGCAGGAGAACCCCTGTTCATGCTATACTGTGCCATCAAGCAACAGATGGAGAAAGGACCCATTGATGCCATCACTGGAGAGGCCCGATACTCTCTGAGTGAGGACAAGCTCATCCGACAGCAAATTGACTACAAGACTTTGGTTAGTTTGCTGTCTGTGAAACACAAATTTAATGACTAACAGATAAGCAAAATAAGCTTGATATCATAGTTATGACATTTTCTTAGTTCTCCTGAGGTCACTAAACATCAATTTGAACACAGATGAAAAGTATTAACTGCTCCTGTTGAGTATTTAATATTCTATTTTTATACTTCAAGAGTTGTGTGATACAATATATTTAGACTAACAAAATATGTTATTACAAAAAATAGTATTGTTTATATAGTTACTGTATAGTATTGAATTCAACCTTTTTTTTACAATAAAGCTTAAATGGCATCACTTCCGTACAAATTGTCATTTGGCCCTAAATTGTACATTTAAATGAAACGACTTCTTAAAACTTTAACGTGTTGTACACTTATGAGTATAAATTTACTTGAGGAATTCACTTTTATCATTTCTTAAAATAATGGGGAAGACATTTCAGTCTGCATGCACGTCCATTGCTCAAATGGCACAGTTGTGTGTAATTGAGCTAATGTAAAGAAAGAGCTAGCATAGAAGCTGATGAAGGCTCTACTGTGGCGAAATAAACTGCTGGAACAGTGCGGTGAATTCTTGTCAGACCTGTGTTGTGTTCCCGATTTTTGTTTTCTCATTCCAGATTTATTTCTCATAGATGTTTTCTCAGCCTTTTTTGTTAGGTAAATCTGATGTTGTTACCAAGTGTCTCATTGCTTTCCCTCAGACTCTGCACTGCGTAAACCCAGAAAATGAAAATGCCCCAGAAATCATAGTGAAGGGACTGAACTGTGACACCATCACCCAGGTGAAGGAGAAGCTTCTGGATGCTGTGTACAAAGGGATGCCTTACTCCCAGAGACCCAAAGCGGGAGATATGGACCTTGGTAAGACACAACATGGAATCAGAATTGGCTCAGGGGTGAAAGTACCTTTAGGCTTTTTCTTGTTTCTAACTTCCCTGATGTTCCTCCAAATCCCCAGCCCTACTAAAATGTCTCACTTCTGTCACCCATTTTGACTAAATACTCCAGAGAGCCTACTTCCATTGTAACCATAATTCACCTTCAATGTACTGAAGAAGAGATGCTAAATTGTGTTTGGTAAAATCTAAATTTCAGATACAGACAGCAGAACCACAACTGCAGACTCAACTCAACAGTTTAAAAAGTTTAATAAACTAAAACTCTGTCATGGAAAATACCATAGTTTTCTCTCAGTTTCTAAGTCAAGTGATAAGACTCAATTTCCCTTTTGTTTAACAAACAGAAAAAAACAGCAAAAGTAAAGCAAAACAGCAGAAACTAAATATTCTACTGACATCTGAGACTCACAAGTGCAATATACAGCGTATATAAATCCTTTAAATTTGAAACTTGAAGGGAATGTGGTGCCAAACTGGCGAAAGACTGACGTTCATAAGCCCTAGTGTGGGTAGTTGATTTAAATGTCTTTCTCCCATGGGCAGAATGGCGGCAGGGCAGGATGGCACGGATCATCCTTCAGGATGAGGACGTGACAACCAAGATCGACAACGACTGGAAACGACTCAACACTCTTGCACACTACCAGGCAAGACCAATTCAGCACAACAGCTCAAATTATGGCAGAGGCACACTTCAGAGTTGCTCCAGGCCCAGAAATTCCATTATATTCCATTATAGAGTTTTATTTAAAAAATACTTCCTGAGCTATTTTAGATTTCTAATTGGGTTCCATTTCAGTTGCAGTGAATAAGAATATTCAATGTTCCAATTTGTTCACGGATGTCGTGAAAGAGGGAGGAATTTGGAATTTCTACTAAAAATGTGCAGTTATATAATATACAAAACAATATTTGCTGCAAATGTTTTGCTGACATCATATATTGGCGGAACACCTACTTGTAGTTTTATAAAAAACACATTAGCATATTTATAGATACTTAAACAATGTAATGCAAAACTGACAAAAGAAATAATTACCAACTTGGTTGTATTAATCAGTATTTAATACTTAAATTTTCCATGAGGAGATATACGTTATAGCAGAGGAGTGTTTTGGGGAATATTTGTTATCCTTATCTAATGTTGATTTTCTTCATCCATGCCCTCTTCATTTCTAGGTAACGGATGGGTCAGTGATTGCTCTAGTACCGAAGCAGAATTCAGCATACAACATCTCTAACTCCTCCACTTTCACCAAATCTCTCAGTAGATACGGTAAGATTTGGGAGGTTTTTTTAAATATTAGGTCTTTTTATGTCTGATGTATTGCATGGAGAAGTTGTTCCAAAAACTTTTCACAAATTCAGTAAAAAATCCTAAACATTGTTTACAAAGATTCTGTGAAATGTAAGTGAAGAGCTGTCTTTTAGTCATTGATGCAGGCAAGGATGATCCCAGGAGCTCAGGTGATTTTCAAGCTTGTCATATCTAGGATTTCTTTTATTTAAATTATTTTGCTGAGAAGTTCTTTGTTGGGAAAAATATTTCATTAAACCAGAGCCTGACACTCCTGCTCTTCCCACAATTTTAAAGCCGTTCCGATTATGTCTCAGAATGACAGGCATTAAATTCAGCACCTAATTTTGCCACAGCATAAAAAACGCTGTCTAACCGGGAGACACATGCTGTTTTTACAACTGACAAAGCCCTGTTCCTTTTTTGCAAATTTCAGGTGTCAGATTTTTTTTGTGATCAAATTGAGGTAGCTATAGCAACAGTGATACTACCACATGACTTAAATGAATGGTAGCTTTATGGTAACAATTCTTCTGTAAAAAGGTAGATCAATTTAATTTAACTTTATGAATACTTGGACATCAATGGCATTGAATTATTTATGGTGTTCTAGAAGAAACAGAGGCAGATGCCCCATTTCCATTTGATGAAAATGTAGAAATGATGGCAGTATACAATTTGCCAACACCAGGCAGCAAAATGCCATGTACCTCTACTGTATCTCTGCATTGTCAAAGAAAACAGCTTAGTTTAACTGTGTTCACTAGGTATTATGTCTCATATAAGGCCATTTGTTGCTAATGATTTTTCTGCAGTGAGCACTCTACCTTTGCATGCAGAACTGTGCAGGTGAGGATGAGATTGCAATTGATTTTCAAATGTGTAATAAAACTGTAGGGGCATTGTATTGTGTGTGAAGATTAGCTTTGGATTTAGAACTCACAGTGTTATCTAATGAACAACTGAAGCCGATTCTCTGCAGTTCATCATTCTCAATAACCAGACAGGAGAGATTGAAGCTGTTTTTTTAAACAGCTCTTATAATATATTGGCATGTTTGTAGTACTGGGTAGTGTAATACAAGATGTTTTTGATCTGCTGTGAGAGAAAAGGGGAAAGTGCTATGATCTTCAAGTTGTATTTATTGAAACTAGACACAATGGACATTTGTGTCTTTAATAATTAACAAATGTAGTTTGTGACTCATTAGTGCAGGATTACTTTGGAACTATCACTTAAAATGAAGCTTGTGTGCTATCACCTTAAAGCCCTAGAGTCCGCACTCAAGACGTTTGTTTGTAGTTTGTGTGCTCTGTGTTCATGGTTTTTTTCTGTGTGCCCTGGTTTCATTGCACATACAAGCTGTCTAGATTTCATTGGCTTTTCTAAATTGTCCCATTTTCTGTGGTCTTCCAGTGGATCCACTGTGTGCCCTCTGCTTTAGGTTAAAAACAATGGGCCAGTGGCTTTTTCTAGTTAACCTCAATGGACTTGAGGTCTTTGTTAGAACATAATGTATTTACTCTGTACAGTATGTATATATTTTAAACAGTAGTATGATACTGCTGTCACAGAAAAGAAAAAGGCTACAGAAAAGCTTTGAACGTCCTGTGATTAAATTCATGAGGTTAATACCTAACTGCTCTGCACTCTAATTGTAGAAAGGCCTTTTTGATTCATGAAGAAATAGTTGCCTTTGAATTTGGGCAGAATTTATTTATTTTTTTCTGTCTGTGTCGCAGAAAGCATGCTTCGCACAGCCAGCAGCCCAGACAGTCTGCGGTCACGTACGCCCATGATCACCCCTGATCTGGAGAGCGGCACCAAGCTCTGGCACTTGGTGAAAAACCATGACCACTCAGACCAGCGCGAGGGGGACCGTGGCAGCAAGATGGTCTCCGAGATTTACTTGACACGGCTGCTAGCCACTAAGGTAAGGGAATTGGGGCTTTGTTGAATGACCTGCTTCACCCAACGAAACTGTTGGCATCTCAGCAGCTTGACTTCAGCTTCATCCATTAGATGAAAAAAACACACACACTTCCAACTTTGTTGTTTAGAAAAAGCTGCCAGTTGTTTTTCATTGAATGGATGAAGATTTTCCAGAATGAGATTTGGATGTTTGTTTAAAGAAAATAATAATGAAGCAGATGAGAATGTGGTTACGTGGTAGGTGGTTTTCTCTGAAGTGATTCACAGAGACTAGAGGCGGACCATGAATTATCTGCTGCTTCTGTCACTTACGGGGAAAAAAAAAACCTCTTTTGTTTTATTGTCTGAAGGACAGAGCACAAGGAGCCTTGTTAACTTTGTCAAGCTGGCAGAAACAGAGTTTGACCTGAGAACATTCTTGCACCACTTTTTTTAATGACTAGATTATTAGTAGTAGTTTATTTAAATGTAATCTTTTCACTAGTTGCCTAGTTGTAGTATTATCACTGCGGCTGGTATGGTGCCTTTAAGAGCTACATCTGTTACATTTGCAGAATATCTTTATCCAATTCTTCCTGAGAAAATAAGGAACATCACACTTGATTGCTTGCGCTTGATTGTTTTGGTCCTAATTGTACAAAAAAAAAGAAATTGAAATTAGATGGTGTTAGGGGACTCTTGGGCAGTCAATTTCTTTTTTGCAAGGAAAAAAAAAAGAGAAGACAGGTAATGTATTCTAAATTGTGTGTTTTTTGAAGCCTGTGTGCCAGCAGGCCAGTGGGACCTGAATACAAGCCAGAAACTGCCTGTTTGGCTCCAAGTCAACCAGACTGTCCCTCTGCATTAATCTGAATAAGCAATTTAGAAATTAATATACCTTTTTGAGAGAATATTGTATGAGTAATGTTATGTTTTTTTCAACATGAAGTAGATTTGTTGACAAAGCAGAAATAAAATTCAAGTCACTCAGGATTACTCCCTACACCACCCCCATCCATAGATCTATGTCTGTACTTTCTCCTTGCACTGATTGATGTTGTGATTTCAAGCTATTTTCTTACTTTTAAGCTAAGTCTGACCCTGGGAGTAAGCCCAAATCAATGCCCTGTGACACAAATTAAACACCATTGTTTGTAACAACCTTTTATGAAGTGCTGATATAATATGCTCATCGATAAAAATCTATTGTTCTTTTATGTCTGGCAAGGGAATGGTATTAAGTCTGTAGGTTGGTAATGTGCTCTGGGTCGTTTATTACTCTGGAATGGTTAATTTGCATTATTGGCCTCTGAGCTCGGCTAGATAATTTGCAAAAGCTAAGCACCTAGATATTCTGCTTGCTCTTACTTTTTCTGCTGTTGGGACAACAAAGTGCAAGTGTGGATTTTCTGGGTCGTTATTGTTGTGATGTAATACTGCCAATTAATCCATCGTGTTCAAGACCACATTTTTTTCTGCAGGATCACCATTTTATTTTTTTTCTAAGGGGGCACTTCCAAGTCCTGGAATTGTAGTCTACCTTCCCTTCATTTTAGCTGAATTGTTGATTTGCTTTCTTAAGCACATTATGAGACTAAATGTGATCATTTGAGCTTTTGAGTTGTTTTCAGCTATGAACCTCTTCATGAGTAAGTTACGTAAACACATTATCAACTTGACTTTCTTTAGTCCACCTGTTCTCCTAACTTTGCTTGTCTTGGGCATGTTGTTTCAGGGTACATTACAGAAATTCGTTGATGATCTCTTTGAGACGATATTCAGCACTGCCCACCGTGGCAGTGCCCTTCCCCTTGCTATCAAGTATATGTTCGACTTCTTGGACGAGCAGGCCGACAAGCATCAGATCAGCGATTCAGATGTGAGGCACACCTGGAAGAGTAACTGGTAAGCATTTGTCTTCAACATTTCCATTGGCACTTTCTCCCATTGGGGCTTATGTGCATCACAATAGGCTTTTTTAACCCCTATCCCCCAAGTTAAATTACTGTATCTTCTCATGCAGAATATACAGTACCACAGGTGAAAGATTAGCAGCACGCAACTTTCATGGTCATTGTAGTCATTGGAAGGGTTTAGTTTCCTTTGTCAGCAGCATTCTGAAATGAAGAAGTACTGGAAATGGGAGAATGCAGGAATCTGTAAATTTAGTAGCATTGACTGTGGCCACAGCACCTTAGATTGACAAACAAGATTCACAAGATAAGGCCTCAGTCTACACCACACAAACGGGGGGAGTACTGAGTGCTGCACTGAAGTATTTTACGCTTTTACTGTTGCTTAAAAATTGACTCGGAAATCAAAATTTGTTTTGATGTCTCTGATTGTGTTTTAAGTGGGACAGAGTTGAAGATAAATATAGTTTTGGATATTTTTCATATCTATTTGTTTTGTCTGTTTTGTCCTTCCAGCCTACCTCTGCGTTTCTGGGTAAACGTGATAAAGAATCCCCAGTTTGTCTTTGATATCCACAAGAACAGTATTACAGATGCCTGCCTCTCTGTGGTGGCTCAAACATTCATGGACTCCTGTTCCACATCAGAGCACAAATTAGGCAAGGACTCTCCTTCCAACAAGCTGCTGTATGCAAAAGACATTCCAAACTACAAAAATTGGGTGGAAAGGTATGTATGCCTTTTGCTGCATTTCTCAGTCAGTCCATCAATCTTCATTACGTTTTTTTATGGTGCACACCATCTGAAAGCCCAGTGCAGCATTTTGTGTATCTTTCATGCATCAGGTTTGGCAGAGAGGGGATGCCTGACTCAGTTTCAACTGAGAAAAGCAGGTGCGACTCTACTCTACTGCTTGATGTTACAGCAGGGTTTTTATTAAATTAAAGCATACATCCGGCAAGTGACAAATGTTTCAGTCGTATAAATGTACAATAAAAATAAATTTGTGTAAAGTTCTCTGTGTCAATTGGGTGCAACAGTTTGAGTGATTGATGCCCACAATTCAATGTCAGCATGCACGGAGCTGAGTTTTGAATCTCATGAGTTTTGGTGTTCTTGAATCCCCTGTCTTATCTCACATCATGTGCTCCTGGGACACCACTATCCAGGGTGCCGGCTGCTACTAATGCACAGTTTGGAGAAAGGTGCTCATTTTGCAACTGTGCGTGATGTTGAACTTACATCATTTTAAGTGACCTTGAAGATGAACACATTGAGCTGCTGCTTCCTCATTTGTGTCATATTAACAAGAACTGGTTTCAGACTTAAAGTATACAGTAAGAACATCAGGATGAGATAAATTTAGAATTGCTGCCATGTAACTTAAACAATTACAGCAATATATGTAATATGTTTTACACTGTATGATATATGATATGACCCTGCCATTTGCTCTTTAAGACGGGTCAATAATCTATTCCTGCTTTAAGTCTTATCACTGCAATGTCACAGAAAGCTGTTACCACAATACCAGCACCTGACAAAGATGTAATAAAGTCTGCTTCCCCAATGTTTAAAGGAATGTGCCATTCAATAATATTTCCATTTGGTCAGTTCCTCTGTAAAAATGACTCATCCAGATATACTTCCCCTATATCAAACCTAGACTTGCTTAATCAGTTTCCATAAATGATAATCTGAGTTCTTTCATCAGAAAAATTGTTTTTTGATTATTAGATTGAGGTAAGCTGTAAATGACCATAATTGAAATTGGGAACTCAGTAGAAATTGCCTTTTCTCTTCTGAGGTGAGAGGGGCGGATGTCTGTTTTGTGTGCTTTTGGGTGAAATCTGCTCTGCAGCATGGAGGGGGTTAGTAATTGGGATTGCCATTCTTTGTCTGTCTGCAGAAAACAAGCCAAGCAGGGAGGGAAGGTCTGATATATGTCATCTCTAGTGAGAATTCGCATGCTGTTGATTATCGAATGACTCAAAGCTGCAAAAGTGCTGCCAACAGACAAATATTAGGCTACATCACCTTTGCATTTGCTAATAAGTCAGGACATACAAATGCAGTATTTGTTGGAACAAATGAATCTATTCGTATTGCAAGGATAATATGAGTTATAATTATTTATGTCATTTATCACTGATATATCAATTATAATAATTAATCATTCTTTTTCAAAACATCTCTACAGTAGAAGTGGTAGTAAAAATGTTAACTCCCTGTGGTCTTGTAAAGAAAGGTATAGGGGGACTGTTTAAATCCAAACAATGGTACCTTAATGAAAATGTGGTCTCTTGCTGTTTCTGATACAAGCCCTCTTTCCCTCTTCCCTCTCGATCTCTTTACAGGTACTACTCGGATATCTCTAGAATGCCAGCAATCAGTGACCAGGATATGAGCGCGTACCTGGCTGAACAATCACGGCTACATCTGAGCCAGTTCAATAGCATGAGCGCGCTGCATGAGATCTACTCCTACATTGTCAAGTACAAAGACGAAGTGAGTCGGTTCTGTAAAGTGTGGCCTGCGTTCCCAGCTCCACTGCAAGATCTCTTTCATTTCCAGCATTCCATCTGGTTTGCCCAGTTTCCTTGCCTGTAAAAGGTTTAAGAAATCCCCTGCCCCTGACATGCCAAAAATCATTCATCCATTCTTTGGCTTAGTTCTTTTTCCTTATTTGCTTTTTGATTATGTCTGACACTTTGGTGCAAGTGGCCATGTTTTTTCTATGTATTCCAGCCAAAAGTTCTCTTGACACACTTTCTAAAGCCCAAGTAGTTGGGCTCTGAACAATCATGTTATTTATCCACACATGTTGCAACAACTGTGCAAGTGTTATACAGATACATATGATACAAATTCGCTTTTCGCTGTTTTGTGTCCTAATACGTTTTCAATCTCATGGTCAGTGTGACATTTTTCAGATGTCACAAATTTTCAGTACAGCAAGGTTGTAACAGAACTCAACAACAGCTCTAGTGGCTTGGGATACAGCAGCGATAGGCTGGGGGAAAAAAGGATTGAATCTGGACATTTTAGTGATATCGCACACCTTTGAGAAAACACCACTCTATAGGAAATTACAAATCATCTTTAAAGCAAGTTTGTGAATTCAAGGGACTAATGAAAAGAACGTTTGCAGGGATGTGACCCAATGCAACATGTGGTAATGAGGTATTTTTCAGAAACATTTAAAAAGAGTGTTGTATTGAAAGGAGTGGAATAAGAAATGGCAAGATAAGTTAGATATTAAATAAACCATAATCCATTCATCTTCTAACCTCTATCCAATGCAGTGTTTGGGGGAGTGAGAGCCTGTACTGGCAAGGAGTGAGCACAAGGCTAGATACACCCCGGACAGGATGGCAGTCCATTACAGGGCGCACACAAACATACACACACACACACACTCACACCAGGGTTAATTTTCCCAGAAACCAGTTAACCTACCAGTATGTCTTTGGACTATGGCAGGAAACGAGAGCATCTGGGAAAAACCTTCACATACAGTACACGGGAAGACCATCCAAACTGCAGTCAGATAACACCCCAAGGTCCAGAATAAACCCAGGGCCCCAGCACTGAAAAGCTGCACTCGCCACCATACCACCATGCCAACCTAAATAAGTCACCTTCGTTAAATTAGATGTGATGTAACACTGTAAGTCACAAAGATTGCATGGTGGTTAATGGTAGGAAAACCACATAACAAAGGACTGTGTAGCCATTAAGTCAGTGCTTTGCATCCGTTAGAAGCATTAAGACCTTTGAGTGTTCTTGTCAACTTTGCTTAAGTATTACTTTGGATATGTTTTTTTGGTTCCCTATTGCAATCTGAAAGGGAGCTCATGACTGAAACAATAAGCTGTATTTTGTGGGCAGCATCTACCGTATAAATGACCTTTACAGTTTAGCTCCATCTTGAAACCTAATTAGGGACCAGTGGAACAGGATTTATTTCATTACTCCTGAGGTACAGCGATCCTGGGAGATAATTTCCCTCTGCGGGCAGAAAGATGGTCCAGGAAACTACATGTTCTAGATCCCAGCCTGACACAGACTAAAAGCCTGGCAGCTGGTAGAGTCAGCTGATAAGAAGAGGCTCTCATTCGGACTGAGTGCATGTGTAATCATTTTTTATGATGTGTGTTTCCTTTGCTTTTAGGCAGAGTTGAACTCTTGAATGATCCTTCGTCCAATTCCACATTAGCCTCTTCTTTCTCTCCCTAGCTAGCCCTCTCTCTCACTCTTTTGCTATCTCTAGTTATGTCTTACACTGAATCTTTTTTTCCTCTGTCCCTGTTCTCCTGTAGTTGTTCTTGTTAATGCATCACAGCTGCCTCCATTTACTGGGTACCATTCATTATATGTAATTACTGAGATGCAGCACAACCCTCACTCACAGAATTTTCAAAAAAAGGAATGATTATTCCATTATGCTGTTCTATAGTACAGGATCAGTGCTTCTGAATGGAAGCTGTAATTTATTCCCATTTAGATAGCCATATCTTGGTAATCGCTGCCTTCTTGATGCACACTGTGCTTCTTCCTCATGTTGCCTGTTATGTCATTGGCAGGGCGCCTTTTCTTCTCATTGCTGAACGAATACTGCCATTTTCTGGCTCATTAGTAATGCATAAAGAAGACAGAGATCTCCCTTGCTCCCACATTGCAGAGTGTTGTTTTAATAGTTGCCATATTAGCTACTAAATATTTTTTTTTTTGCTGTAGCCAAATTGCGTACAATAAGGTGATAGCTCAGGGAGTTTCTTTGTTATACTGCCCCAACCAAAATAAAAGAGAGCCTTGCAATTTATAATGGAAAATGTTGCTCATTATGAATTGTTATAAATTAGTCATTCTTGTTGTTTTTTTTTGCTTTTTTCATCTGAAGATATTAGACACATGTTTCTGATTGGGGATCATTTTGCATGCTGAAAATTGGACTTATTGCTTTGAGAATAGGCATGTGGAACATCAGTCAGATAAATCATTTTGTTTTCACAAAGCCAAATTTGGTCCTGGGTGAGTCCCTCGGTCTGCGCTTTAAAATTGATTTTTTTTCTACCTTCACAATCCAAGTGAAAAATGGATTTTTCTCAGTTTATTAGCAACACACTCGTTCCGCTTGTTGCTTGTGCATGCATTGACACAGCAGGCTTTTGCTTCTAGGTCATCAGGTCTCGGTAATGGCTGGAGCAGGCAGGACCTGCACAAGCCACTGGCCGCCCCTGTTGAGAGGCCAGGAGGTTATAGCAGATTTCATCCTTGACGAGAGATAGGCAGCTAAGGTCCCAGCTGTCTCTCTCTCTCACACATATGCGCCGATTGACCCAGGAGTCTTGTCTCTAGCTTTTTTTTCAGGATGCAGTAGACCGGAAGCTAAAAAACAATTGCTTGGAGGGATCATACGGTCTTGCATCTTTCATTCCATCACTTGCTGTTTCTTTTATGTCTATGCCTTTTAGCAAGGCTTTGAAATAATTTGGTAGCTTGATTTAACTTGTATTTTAGACTCTAAAGATAATATATATGATCAACTGAGCCAAGAATAACATGATAAATATATTTAGAGCTTAAATAGGAATGATGTCAAGAAGCCCCTGCAGATATCAAGGAGTTGTTTGACTAGCTAACCTGTCCGTGCAGTGCAGAGCAGTTGTTCTAATCTCATTCTGCCACAAACCTACATTTTTTTTTACAGTGAAACAATTTGTGCTTTCCATGTCCCTGTCTGCTTTTTTGTTATGTATTGCTGTTTAAGATACAGACTTGGTGCCAAATGAATTTTGAGTCTTATGTATCAATGTGTATACTATTAATAATGCTTCATCAGACGAAAGACATTGCGAGACTTTTATGCTCACAAATCCAGTTTAAGAAAGACCCCAGAATGCTTGGTTAAAAACAAGGGGCAGATTAGCTGTAGATTTTGTAACTTACAGCTTTTAAATAGCTTTCCCTTCTCTTTATTTTCATTTTATTTCATAAGCCACTAAAAGTTTTATTAATTATGTCTTAAAGCATTTCACACTCCCTTTAATGAATAAAGGGTCCCCATTTGAGAGCTCTGCTTCACGTCTGAGTACATTATTGCTATTTAATGACTCTGAGCAAGCTTTGGAAGACGGGCTGAGAATGAATTTTTTTACGATTCAAGCTGCTGTCCTGTTGCATGCAGCAGGCAGAACCATTGATCGAATGCCTCTAGACAGAGGAGTGGAGTTGTCTCTTCACTGCTACTCCCTGCTAATGGAGTGCCAGGGCTTTCTAATCTTATAATTAATAAAATGGTTTATAAAAATCTGCTTTTATAACCCCACACTCTCTTCTCCACATCACTACCCCCACCCAGGCATAATGCACTTATTTGCTGTGGGCCATTAGGACATTAATTGGGGCTCTCCTCATCGCTCTGAGAGATTAGCTCTTTAAGACTGCAGATGACAGTGATGGAGCAGTTGGACATGAAACGGTCATTGTCAGATCCCCAGAGCATTCTTCCTGTCACATTACAGAAGAAGTCTTTTCCTCTTACACTTCTGACAAGCCCCACACGTTTGTTCTTTACGTTGTAAAGAATCGAGTGCTCTCTGTGCTATATTTAAGTAAAGCTTGCTTTTCTAATGCTGTTACGTCACTAAAAACAGTGTATGGAAGCCCTACATTGGATAGTATTCTTTGTTACAGTATTTGCAGGGTGCGAGTGTTTTAGATGTAGATTTGTTCTTACCTTTCTTCGTCATCTCCCTTTTCTCTTTGTCAGATCTTGTCTGCTTTAGAAAAAGACGAACAAGCCAGGAGACAGAGACTGAGGAGTAAGCTGGAGCAAGTCATCGACACCATGGCTATCGCCAGCTGAAAACTCTGTCTGTGGCCCTGAGAAGAGTCTTGCTGAACACAAACTTAATAACTGAGAGAACTAAAGCAGTGCACAGTGGATCCTGCAGGACTGGGCATGTGTAGCCTGTCTCAATTAAAAGCATTTAAAGTGTTTTTTGTTTGTTTTTCTAAAGATGCTATCTTTTCATGGACCCAATTAATAACTGAGCTGAGAAGAAAAATGCAACTGAGACAAGGCACCTTTATGGATTTGGAGATGGTTTCTGGTCACTCTCTGTCACAAAATGAAGCCTGAATGGGACTTAAACCTCAAGGACTTTTTTTTGTTGTTGTTGGTTTTATTTTATTTTTAAATATACTTGACTGCCCATTATCTCTGGCCTCCTGCCACTAGTGTTACTGCTAAATTTGCACAATTTACAGGAATTAAAATACAAAATATAATTTGAGTTTTTAAAGTAAAAAAATAAAAGTTGAAAATGTTTCCATTTTAACAGAAAAAGGAAATTATTATTGAAATAGTTCTGTTATGAAATGAGTTCCATGCGCTTTGATATTTCTGACAAAAACAAAGAAAAACTTGTCCTGTGCCATGTTTTATTTGAATGTTGTTTAGTGCAAACACATTTTGTTAGATTAAAAAATGTGCTATTATTTAAATGTAAACATGCCTAGTGACTGAAGTTACAGTAGAAAAAGTCAAAAGCAAAAAAATGAAAGCAGAAAGATTTAAACTATTAAGACTGTCTTTTTGAGCAAAAAGGTAGAACTTGTACTTTGAAAATAAGAAGTACTGTATATTTTTGTTTGCAACTCTTTCCTCATTACATGTGATTTCTCAAAAGAGCTATAAGGAACTGCAGGTTCTGTGGCATTTAATTTCTCTCCAGATTAAACTCACTAGCATTCTTGAAACACATTATCAAGAATGGTTTAGAAAAGACATCTGAAAACCCTCTTAAAAATACAAAGCATTCATCCTGCTGGCTGAGCCCTGAGTATTTTAATCATGCTGGTTGGTTGAATGCTGTTTTAAAATTGTTTTTGTAAAATTGTCTTTAAATCCTATAACGCACATTTCCAATTGCACAATAATTCCTAAATGAAGTATATTGAAGACAGACAGAAGAGAAGGTGATGCATAGAGAATCTGTATTTGGTGCAAAAAACTCTACAAATGTCAGTCCTTTTTGAGGTGTTCAAGAATAACATCATTTGAATGACGGCCATAGCTGTTTTGGATAATATGGATATTTAAGTTTGGATGTCTCCATACTTCCCAAATTCTCTTGTCTTAAGATCTGCCAATAGAATTAAATACTGTATTTAGACTTTAACAGCTTTTTAAAAAAACAACAGAGTAATGAGGTTGCCGAAGGCATTTAGCTTATGTTCAACAAAGGGGAAAGACCCCAAAGGATCAGGCTTTCTCCAAATATTATTATGCAGATCAAGGTGCAGAGAGTTAGTCATAAGTATTAAAGAGATTGCGATTGCAAGCTGAATGATCTGAGAAAGGGTTAGCTTTGAGGGGAGAAAAAAGAGCCTGGTATTTATCAGCTCATTAGCAGACCAAAGCTAAATAATCCCTTTAGCCCATGGCCTACGTAAATGGAAAACTGTTGTTGTTATGTGTATAGGCTTTTTAAAGAAGATCTTGAAAGTTTGATGTTGTGGTAAGAAATGTATAAATTGTTTTCTTCTTGCCTAAATTAGGCTGTGGTCAGTAGTGGTCAAAGTATATATATTTTTTCCTTGTTTTTCAGACAGTGAAGCTGTTATTTTCCCCTTTTTTCCTGTAATACAGACCTGTCACAGTAGCCAGTTCCTCAAAGATCATGGAAAAGGTCTCGGTTACCTTGCTTTAGTGGAATGTATGGTATAATTCTTTATATTTTTAAATCTCTACATTTCACAAAGAATGGAATGAAATGAAGACATGAAAATCTCAAGTATAACAAAGAGCTCAGCTTTGTGTGACAAAAGGTTTTAATTGCTGCTTAAATATGTGCTTATTTACAGGGTGAAGTGTTGTTTTTTTATTTTGGAAGATGAAGGTTTTGGCTGTGCAAGTTTAAATTTGATAGCATTGTGACAGAGTCACAGCTTTCTGTGTATATTGTGAGAACCATTCAGTTTCCTGGCAGACACCCTAGTGTAACCTATAGATGTCCATCCTAGACTGGTGATGAGAAAGGTTGCTAAACTCTGGAAACCTGCCATGCTGTGATTTTTAGGTCAATCACCCAGCGTGAGTAACTTACACAAACAATAACTGTAAACTTTGAAAACCCTTATATCTGTCTGCTTATCGCATGCTTTCAAGAGTTTTTAGTTTGCCCACGGTTTTCTGTCTCAAAAAATATTAGGGGAGCTGGTTTCCATTCCATGTGTTTTATTTTCACTGTTACAGTGTTGTTGGAGCAAAACTGTATGTTTTTCGACAAGGCTATTCCAGTTTTGGACATTTTTATAAATGAACCCCCACCCCCAGGTTAGCATTCTATAGTAATTTTTTGGACCAATCATCTGTCTCTTGACTGCAACTTCAACAGGGTTACTTTTAAAAGTGCTAAGCATCATTCTTTTTGGGAGCTGCTGAATGTGTGCCATATACAGTATCTGCTGGTGATAGACTTCTGCACATTAAGAAGAGAACACACACCTGAGGCACCAAGCCACTGTTTGCAGTGGTCACAGTTAAGAAGAAGATAAGTTGTTCTTTCACATTGGGTTGATCTTGATAGCGGACCATCTCTAGAGTCAGGTGGTCTGGGAATCATAGTTGTTACTGCCCACAGTGGTTAGGGTATGGTATTTGGGGAGGGTGTACAGGTATCACTTTTAGAGCATCGATATTATCAGATTTAGTTAGCCTTTATAGCCATCTTTATATATCTAAACATAAAGATGGGATCATCTGTTTTTAATATTTGTCTTTGAAGACTTTTTTTCTTCTGTTAATTGGAAGAAAGATGATTTGTATATCATCCGTGCAGTATTATGTAGTTCAACACTCCATAAGGTTTCACTTGCCTGAACCCTAGACATCCTCTTAGAACTTGCTCCACATTTACAATGCCTTCAGAACCTGATTTTCTTTCCTAGATGAAAGCGGCCTAGTGTTCCGTTGTTTGTTTTTGAGATAAGTATGAGATACACCTTTTCCATACCTTTCCACCCTTATCTGCCTGCTAAATGCAGCTGACAGAAAGCTCAGTAGCAGGAAAAGTCCAGTTCTTAAAGTGTGTTAAATCTACTATAGGAAGCATACAATGTTTTTATAGCACTAAAAAAAGATAAATATAACAACTCGTTTCAGCAGCAATGATAACATTTGATTTTTCTTTGTTAAATATGATCATCTTTGCACTGTGGCTTTCTTTATCTAATTCTCTTCTATAAATGTTGTATGCTTACTACAGTGATTCTGATTAATTCATATGAGCATACGATTGGTTGTAATGTAGAAGAAGTGTTTCTGGGTTTACTTCAATATGTAGCAGCCTATCACTATGCAGGATAGTCGTTGAAGATTGTAAATCCGTTGGTTACATTGAAATGTTCAAAGTCTCAGGAGTTTTTTTTTTTAAAGTTTTTCCTGGTTTGTTTTCAGGGGCTGGGGAGAGGGAGTAGGGGGTTTGGGGGAAGGGAGGTGGGGCCTATTGATTTTTGCATGTCTGCTCTAGATTGTAGATTGAGTTCCTTTTACAAATGCAACTGTTCAGGCAGTAGGCCTGATGTTTTGTTTGTTGTTTAGTTTTTTCTTTACTTTGCCACTTCTTGTACAAAATCAAGAGACTTAACTATACAATCCATTTCATTCAATGGTACTACACATTTTATTTTACATCCATAAAGGAACAAAGCTGGTTTGTGATGCTTGCTCTGATAGAGTATCTGAAAGGAAAGGAAGATGCTGTTAGATTGACTTGTGGATTCACACACTGAGCATTCGTTTTGCACAGAGTGCCTTGTCAGCTACAAAACATCTTTAGGTTGTTTTTACCTCACACTGGTGCATTTCTCTCCTACCGTACCTTCAGAGAAAAATACAAAATGCTGTTTGGCCAGCCCCATGAGGCTCATTAATCTGCCTGCTATACTAGAAACAGTTTTCAAACTGTTCTTTTACCCAGAGATTTGTTTCCACATCACTCCATATCACAAAATGTTTTCCAAAGCAGTTTAACAGTGTGCGTCCTTTCTTTTTTTAAAAAAAAGTGGCAAATTAAAATCAACAGTCCTTTTTAAAATGGGATAAAAAAATCAAAGGAATTTTAATACTAGAATACTGAGAACTTTTTAAGATTGTTTCAGACTTGAAACAACTGTGACAAGTTGGCTGTTTAACGCTCATTGTGTAAATATTCTGCTATTTCCTATTTTGCAGATTTACTACTTGTAAATAAACACGCATCAAGGAGAGATTAAACATTTTTTTGCTAAATAATGCTAGTCTTTCTTTTGGTTTCTTTTAAAAAACTGTGGTTATACGATTTAATTCTTTGGATTCATTCCTATATTACATTTGTCCAATAATGCTATATCAGTTCCTTTTATTTTATTCCTACTGTACTGTATATTAAGTTTGGCCAAAATATTAGAATTCTTCAATAGAACACTCAAATAAATGCACAAATAATGAGAGATTTTATATTTTACTGGGATTTGTGTTGAATGCAAAATGTTTACATGAGGAATTTAGTGTAGCTGTTGGTCAGCATTGCTGTGTTAATGTGAATAATATTTAACCAGGTTAAAACCCCCACGAGAAATATTTGGTCAAATCTAATTTGAGGTCATCCAATGAGTAGTTTGTCTGTATGGGAGCACCTGTAAGAAAAATTCCGGAACAAGTTGTGGTGGATCTGGCTGGAACACGGAGACAAATGTGCAGTTGTTGTAAAAAAAAATGATAGCCAGTGTGCACTTGGTGTACTGTAAAAAACAATCTTCAGTATGAGGAAGAACATACTAGGATGGCTCAGGCTGTGGAGTAGAAGCTGTCTTAATATTGGCTATTGCAAAGCTGAAAGTAAAAGCTACCAGGAGTGTCCAGTCCTGATCTTGAAAGGCCTGTGTTCCTGCAAGTTTTCATTCCATCTCAGGTCTTAACAAACTCAGTTTTAATTTAATGGGACTATTTTAACCGCTTCTCCTAGTTTTTCAGGGGCTGTTGCTTTGAAGAGACCTGGACAATCAGCAGATACTGCACATCATGCTTCCAGGATTTAGGGTCAATCTAAACTGCAAATGACTTTTATAACTGCCACTACATAGTTTGTGGCCATATGCTTTCTTAAATGTTAATAGTCACATGGTTGCACTGTGTTGTATTAACATTTTTATACCTAATATTCTGTCTGGAAGAA